GATGAATGATTGTCTACTATAGATTCGGATTGTTAGTGTTTATTAAATCAAATAGGACATATTCCTGTTTTTCAGACTAACATACAAATTGATGATTTTGATTCACAAGTGATTTGCCTTGTGTATTTGGAGACTCTACCGTCGAGCAGGTATTGAACTGTGGGGCCGAATACGGCATGTACTGAGAGCTGGTACGCACGCGATGTCAAGGAAAGTCCACACAATGCGATTAATTTCAGTCCACACAAACCTACTAATTTGCATTCTGTGGTGAAAGAAATCTGTCTACAGGGTGCATTTGTTTCTAATCCACTCGCCACAACGGGGGGGAGGGGGCCACGTTCAGATGAACGCATGTGCACGTGCTGACCTTTGCAAACCACGGCCACACGCTGACTCACCTAGTTTATGGTTTAAATGACGGCGTCGGCACAAGCCATCTTGGAGACTCATGCATGTATGCGCGCGTGAATATTCACTACTTCAACCAGCATCTCTTAGGAGATCGGAGCTCAAAGCACATCGCGAAATGAACTGTCTTGAAGAAGGAAAAGAGCTTTATTAGCCTGACATTTCGGATTCCTGCTCGAACCCATCATCAGAGACAAAGCAGATACGGGTAAAGGACTTTTCAGAGCTGGTCTAGTCCACGAATGGAGGTGAAAGTTCAAATTCTAGGCGAATGTATAAGTGAAGAAGAAGGCTGGTCGAGCTACAACCTGCTCAGCGCAGTCCTCCCTAATAGTAAACTCACGATGGAGGAACAACTGGAGCAGCAGTTGCCCTTTCTTGATATGCTCGTCAGACGAAACCTTGACGGTGAATTTGAAACGGCGGTTTATAGGAGGACAAAGAATTTCACACATCTCGGTCTTCACTGCAACCATTCGGTGACTCCCAAACAAAGCTATGTAAAGACGTTCCTCAAACGGATTAAAACTAGTTGTAGAAAACCGGAGGAAAGAGCACGTGAGGCCAGTTACCTTCACGACTAGTTTATGAAGAATAGCTATCAGAGGGCATTTATACGTCACTGTCTAAGCCATCGCTCCCATAGGACCCAAACGACAACACCATCAACTATGTGGCATTCTCTGGTACGCATTAAGACCGTTTCAGAAGCGACCGAACACATTGCTGCTGAGTTAGGTGTTGGAATTGCACACTGGCCCAAAGCCCTCATGCACAGGAAGGTCATGAAAATTAGAGACCTCTTAAATCCAGAGGGGCAAACTGGGGTAGTGTAGTGTGTTTGTAACTACACAGGCTAGATTGGACGCATGCTCGGATCATGCATACACGAACATAAGCTGGCTATGTGACCAGGCGACTAAGTATCGAAAGTGGCAGCCCACAACTAGGAAATGGTCTTAAGTTTAACCTCGCAGCCACGAAGATAATCGTTCACGCTGGAAACAAAGCAGTCCAAGAATTGATAGAAGCCTGGGGGTTGGATGAGATCTCAGTCAACCGATTTATTGATCCGGCGCCGGCACACAGAGCCCTGCGCAGTCATCTCTAGTTCTGCGCCATCGAGAGGTGATTGGGCAGCAGGCCCTATAATTGTCGCTTGTTCTGTTATTGCCACTATCACTGACGAGGGACTCCTGCAAGAGTTCTAAAGCTCAGGCTAATAAGCAGACTTTTCCGGTGCCCGACCTACCCTATTCCTTTTCTTCTTCTTCTTCTTCTTCTTCTTCTTCTTCTTCTTCTTCTTCTTAGTATTATTAGTATCATCATTATCATTCGTCTTCTCTTTCTTATCCTTCTTCTTCTTCCTCCTCCTCCTCCTCCTCCTCCTCCTCCTCCTCCTCCTCTTCTTCTTCTTCTTCTTCCTCACTGGTCCGGTCCATTTATAGCCTGCCTAGGCTCGACAGTGGCCCATCGTGGACAAGCTACAGGTCTATGAAGGGTGCCGGACTCAGGGCTCAGTCTTTTCTGCAACGGACAAAGCCACTTAGTTATTGGCGGAGCGGCCGAGTTGCACTTGGTTTTGTAACGCACCACATGTTCGACGTGGTTGTTTGAACGAGTTGAGGTCACTTTGGCGCGGATCCCGGATGGGTCTGGTGTGATCGCCTACCAATGAGAATGGCTGGTGTTCCTTCCCTTCCTACCGCTGATATCACTTCCCTCGCTCTCGCCGTTTGTTAGTCACTCGTTTCCCTTATCGTCAGCACACTCCACGGCCATTACCCGCAGTTGCTGATAGAGCTGCAATCACCACTGGCGTCTAAATGATATGACGTGACAACCTCCCAGTCCAAATGGACCCTTTGTACAGTACCTTGCTATTTTCTTGCATTCGTTAATTTTCCACTTTTTCTACTCTATCCATTTGTAATCGTTGCACGGATTTCAAACACTAGAAATCCCTTTTCTTATTACATCTCTATAGGCTTGTCTGGTGTGGTATTTGAAAGCTCTGTGCAGTGTTACATAACCGGGAAATTACCCTAGGTGGTCTATTCGACCTTGTGCGTGCTAACCTCGACGTCTTCTGCCGATACATTGTATTGGCGACCGAAGGACTTTCAAGCGTCTTATGCGTTTTCGTTAGCGGAAATGTTTGTGTTGCAAATGCTATGCCGATTTATCTGCAAGCAGCCACCGTCTTGCCCTAAAAACCTCCTACACGTGTTTGTGGCTTTTACTGCGGATTTCATTCTTCGGTCTTTTCAACCTGAGAATTAGGCACTGGATCATTATGTAAACTTGAATCTTTCCATAAAGAAAAAAGGTTTACGCAAACACAACGCGCGGCAAGGTCGCGGTTGGCATGCGTAAATCAGTGACCACTCCTAACCTTTATTTTTCCTATTTTGTCTAACAGGCAGCCAATCATACCTGTCTGCCTGTATTCATTCAAGCTTGAACTGCTATCTGTTTGTCGGTAGCGATGAACAACAAGTCTAACAGATTTTCCGTTAAGAAAAAAAAGCGGAGTCTCTCATGGTATGGCAAAATAGAAAATCCACAAGGCCATTTGTGGAAACGTGTCCTATTAGCTTGGGAAACTTTAAGTTTTTACATTTTTTTGTCATATATTGGTGGCATTTGCGTATTTCTGTTGAAGAACGTACGCACTGAATCACCTACGGTTTTTATTCCCAGAAATGGCAATGGCTCTCGAGGTTCATAAATCTGCTGCTGTTTTCTGATGTGAAAGATAGGGATGCTCAAAAACTCGCCGCGTAGGGCGGGCTAATACAGTTAATTGAGGGTGATGAAAAGTAGTAAAAGTAAAGCCAATATCAGTCAGCCTATTTGTTTCCGGCAGTGAGCACCAGACCGGAAGCGCTGAGAGTCTAATACGGGTCCATTTAGACCTCCGGTTAAATGTTTGAAAATGTTGCCCGCGGACGGGCGTCCTGTCGCTTGTGATTGCTAAAGGACACCCTTCGCGCACTCTGCGCATTTCCGATGGTTTGCAGCATGGAGAATGCGCAGCGCGAAGGTGGTTAAAGCGTTAGCTGTACTAAAACCTTCGCTTCACTGTCGTGGGTTCGAATCCCGCTGAGGCGTCGAGTTCTTCACGGTTGGGTCGACATGGATTATTCAAAATCTGCCAAAACATCTATGAAATTCTTTTACTTTTAGGTTTCAGATCTTCCCACTTTGACGCTGATGCGATGCTGGAAGGCGAGGAAAAACATACCGAGCATGTCCAGTTATTGTCTTTTTCGATAACAGTCATCGAGTTTTGTTTACTACCATTATAACAAGGCCTCTAACTCTGAATAAAGGCAGAAGAGTCGTAGTTCCTCATTTAATGAGATCAGATCACTGAACGTCACGCAGTATCACGCGGCGTCAATAAATCCTACACTTCTCACATTAGTACGTCACGAGATAAGGAATAATTAGGCTGGTATCACCACCGATCACTGTGTGGGATCTGCCCTCATCTCTATTTGGCGACTACCTACACAAACGTGAAATAAGAATGGTTCGTATATCATCCCATAGCCTTAATCACACCGTCGTTAAAAAACAGTTCGGTGCATATATTTGTTTTTTACTTATGGTAGGCAGAAATACCAAAAGTGCTCAAGCGGGTCTGAGGAAACAATCATTAGTCTTCTTGGATTTGTTCGGACTTACTATATTATCTTTAATATAGCCTAAGAAAGCCTAAAAATCCACAGCGTTGAACGAAATGTGCGATATCATTGACAGGTTCACAATCCCATCGAAGGCCCTACCGAAACGCATGATTTCACGTGATGTCTCAGTTTTAATTCTGCGTGAGGCAACTACAGGAGGTTTATTCGTTAGTCAGTCCGTCAGCCCCCCGGATTTGTCTTATGCGCTCGAATCACTGAGTGACCTTGGTTGCTTGGGGCGGGCAATGGGCATGCTTGACACTGAGAAACCATTGATGAACCGAAAACCTCGCAGTTATGGCAGGCCGCAGATGAAATTCCGTAAAGCGCGTGTCTCCGCCCTAGGTATGATGGTCCCATGGAAATTCGCCTAAGATTAAACGCTTTAACTCTGCCGGGCTAGTTGAGACATGGAAAAATGATCATATCGTTTTCCTCCCCGGCATGGACATTCCTTGCATATCGAGTTTGTCTTTTGCGATACTTTCAAGGTATGGATGGAAATCTCTGTAGTTTAACTCTAACTGCACCCACGACAACATGGTCGTTAACTCGACTTATGTGAATTGGAGGATGATTGAAAATCGTTAAAAACGCGTTGTCAGAAGATACTGCTCCTGAACGGAAAGTAAACCCCGCTCACCCTTATCGCGCGCCGTGGAGCTTGGTCGAAAGTAATGGTTCCACCAAAAAGTTGCGTACGATTATAGCCAGATATATTAGTGGCGGAAGTTTCGAATTAGCCTCCCATAAAATAATATGTTTTATGAAATTAGAATAATCCCGCACGACTTCTTACTATCAGCCTAGGATTTTAAACTTTCATCTTGTTAACTATTAGTACCTGAGGGATATTTTGATTTTATACAATGCTTCAACTTATCACAGTGTGACATGCTCGGGCCAACAGTGACCTCCGATTCGAACACCACAGTCAGCTCGTCAACGCAATTCTTGGAGAAACTTAAAGGAGTAAGTCTCCTGCCAAGCGATATCATGGTTTCCTTGGATGTCACGTCCCTTTTTTACTTCTATCCCGCAGGACCTGGCAGTCGAGACCATCGAGCTACTCCTACGAGAGAAATACGACGAAACGGAGAATCGCCTCGGACACGCCCAAATCATCCAGCTCCTGAAGTTCTGTCTCAAGACGTACTTTACATTCGACGGAACAATCTACGAGCAGGTGAAGGGAACGCCAATTGGTTCGCCGATTTCGGGACTCATAGCCGAGGCGGTCCTACAACGGCTGGAGTCGCTGGTTTTCCGACACCACAGACCGAAATGCTGGGCTCAGTATGTGGATGAGACCTTCGTCGTCATCGAACGGGATCAGGTGCTGACGTTCAAAGAACAACTCAACGCCGTCTTCCCGGACATCCAATTTACGATGGAGGAGGAGGAAAACAATCAGCTGGCCTTCCTGGATGTCCTCGTCTGCCGCAAAGATTGTGGTGGCCTAAAAACCAAAGTGTTCAGGAAAGCGACAAATACGACGCAAATACTGAACTTCAATAGCAATCACCCCACCAGTCACAAACGCAGTTGCGTAAGGGCGCTATACCGGCGCGTTGAGACGCACTGCAGTGAAATGAAAGACAAGGTTGCTGAACTACAATATCTTCGACGGGTAATGAGAGCCAGTGGTTACCCGCGCAGCTTTGTCAATCAGTGCATACGAAAAGGACACCAGAGACCAAATCCAACCGTCCCCAATTTTTGGCGGGCTCTTCCGTACGTGAAGAACTCTCGGAAGCCGTCAGTCGTCTTCTCACTCCACTTGGAGTTGGGGTTGCACACAGGCCGGAAGCAACCATTAGGCGCCAAGTCATGAGGCCAAAAGACCCGCTGCCACGGCAGGACACGTCTGGAGTCGTTTACCGGATCTGGTGTAGTTGCGGACAAAGCAATCATGTCGGAGAAACTGGGAGATTACTCCGTACGCGACTTGCCGAGCACGCAGCAGCAGTGAGGCGGGGAGACGCTAACTCTTAGGTGGCGGCACACTCGACGGGACCCGGCCATATTTTCAAATTTCAAGAGGCCGAAATCCTCGCAAGGGGTGACAACCGCGTGAGCCGCGAGCTGCTCGAGTCATGGTTCTCAGGCCCGCACTCCATCAACAAGCACAATGACCTCCCGGTACCCTATAGCGTACTGCGATTTTCCCTGGGCAGGAGAATCAGTCACGTGGGGAGGGCGCGGGCGAGCAATCATCACGGTGACAGTGAGCCAGTTTGCCGAGCAATCGTCACACCAGCATCCAGCACGGATGACGAAATCGCGGCCGTTAACGACTCGGACTTGGACCGCCAAGCCACCAGCGCATCAATTACGGCCCCAGCGGTGATTACGAGAATTGTTAATTGCAGTGCGCATGCGGTCCCACGGCAGCCACGTGCTATAAATACTGCACTCCTGGTGCCACAATCACCTTTATCTGCTATTGTCTCTGATGATGGATTCGAGTAAGGATCCCAAACGTCAGGCAAATAAATTTCTTGTTCCGGTGATCCAATCTTCATCTTCTGAGTGTCCTATTAATATGGACCCACTTTCAAGAGACGCTGGTTCCTCGATGAAATATTCACACCCGCCTTCTCAGGGTGTCACTAGGTGGTATAAGAGTTGAGTTTTTTACAACTTAAAAATTAAAGATACTTATCAAAGATGATGGTTTACGAGTTATAAATGAACACCACTTCGTACCAGTAGTCAAGCGCAGCCACTCAGGACTCCATGTACCACTGTTAAAACAGTTTGCACTAGCAGTAGGAAAGTCCGTGAATCACTTTTTAAAGCTCAAACTGTGTCACTTTATGCCTTCTTCATTTTTTTGTTGACCAAATTTCCATTATTTGACGGCGACAGTTTTGTGGCACTGTGTCCACTACGTCAATATTTGTCAATATTGGACGATTACTGATTCTGCCAGCATTGCTGCCGAATATTATAAGTAAGTTCGATCTGTTATGGGCTTTTTTCAAAGCCGTTTAACAGCATACATATTTTGGTCTCTCTTCATCCTGGATGATAGGTACTATATCCCTCACCCGATTTACCTGTGTGCTTGTTTAAATTCCACACACAGATCGTCTCTCTAACCTTCTTGATCGTATACCGAAAGTGTTCTTTTTCAATGGCTGGGCTGGTCAAATAGTGAGATTGTAGGCATAAATGCGTAAGTCAAAAATTTAGCAGGTTAAACTGCACACCAGAGACAGATTTACTACCAGCCTTATTTCTAGACCACCAGACCTATCACAGATGGCGAAGGCAGATATAGACATTATCTGTTTGTTTCCACTGGCAGAATTGAGGGTTATGACAGTTGTGGACCAAAAGATTACTCAAATAAAGCAATTAACTGATGAACGGTTGAAAACCTCAAGAAATACAAAACTTTCAATGATAACCGACCATCCTGCAGGTTATGAATCACATGTGAGCGGTAGACCAGTAGCATTCGAAATGAGATCAACCCGTGAGAACCCGTTATACCAAGTAGTCCACAATCTGTGGAGATACGACACTTCAGAAAGATATACCCATAAACATGCTTACATAAGTCAGAGGACTGAATTTTTCAGAATGAGGACTGCCAAGTGGAAAAAGGCCTTCCCCAAGAAAGTATCTGAATGACGCCTTCGAAGTTATGCTGGTAGGGGCGGCTGAAACATTTGCTTCGTTATCTCACTCGACCTCTCAACCTTGCTATGACTAACTTCTATGCGGCTATTCTAAATCAGTCGTTCATCAAATGAAATTATTTTTGTTATCTGCATATAAGGTCAGATGCACAGAAGTAGGTTAGCGAAACTGTCGAACCACTAACCGAGAATTTATCTAATCCTATTGCTAGATTTGTACTATAAAATCACAAAGGATGGTGATTACAGTGGATGTGGATGCTAAATCTGTCTTTTCCTAAAACTGCGAAATTCCACTTTCTACGCCCGTCCCCAGTCTCGTGATATCATGTTATACATAAAGTTATTAGATGTCAAAAGGGCACGTGCGACTGATGAACGCCTTGCTTTTATTGTCCAAAATCGTAAAACCTTCAATGGATGAGCTCGTTGATTAAGCCAATTTTAACGCAATAAAAGTCTAGAAACCCATAATTTAAGCATACGAATCAAGCTAACAGACCGAATGGGTCCATCCTCCATCATGAGCAAAATCTTCAAATTATTTCGATAAGTGCTCTGCTGAAATAATCGAAATAACACGACATAGTTCATCCGGAACGTCCTCCGCGCTCCCTCTAATTTCTTTTCTAACAAATATACGATATACCAAAGAAATTAATTAAAATGCTGATTTTAGGGGCGTTTCAGACTGATAATCTGAATGAGATAAATTGCGACCAAGTCATTTAAGGTGATAACGATAGCTAACCAGACCATTTGATTTAAAAATCACGTGCGGGCTTAAAAACCGAAGTTAAGATATCCTGCATGGGCTTCTGGTCCGGTGGGCTCTGCTGAATACTAGTGTGCTTAATTGGCCGAGGTGTTTGCTTGCTTACCAATCGTCTATGTGCTCTGATTAGCATAACGTTCAGAGACCCTTGAAGCCTTCAGTAGTTGTTAATTAAGACAGCAAATCTTTTTCGGCATTTTTTCTCGCTCCAATAACCACGGAAACGTTCGTGGTATAGGGTAGTAAACTGTTACCTGACCGAGTAAAAACACTTTTTCTCCCTTATTTATTCGTACCGTCCGCAGACAATTCCTAACACACTTTGAGTGCATGTGCTTCAAGAAGCGACTGTCAAGTTTACTAATAGGGGATACCTGAAAAAAACGAAATTAACCCCCTTCTTAATAATATCCATCACATGGCCCAATGGATTGTCTCCTGTTTGGTACATTTTCACATTCTTCAGAACTAATGCTGTTATGTGCCTCCAGCGATGTTTTCCTAATATCTTCTACGTTCTGAAAACGCATTTTGTTGTAGGTTTTTCTATATTCTTGGGAATAAGAAGTCGTAGAAGGCTAGGTAGGGTGGATTAAGGGGGTGGAAAACCGTTGGCATGTTGTTCTTCCCTAAAATGGGTTGATTTTGAACTCTGTTTGGTGAGGCACGTTGTCGTGATTAAGCATCCAGCCTCCCTATCACCACTATTCGGACCTTTTTCCTCGCCGCCGCACACAATCGCTTCAACATCTACAGTTAACAATGCTGGTTGACTGCGGTGCCATGAGAAACAAATCCAACATGCACGAAATCTTTGGTGTACAAAAAACCATCATCGATTTCAAATTTGATTTCACTTGCCGTGAAAACGTTGCCGAGGGCGTTTAATAAAACAATCATTCTGATATCTGTGATGGCATCTCGCGAAGGTTACTCAGCCAACTGAACAGTAAGACTGTCTAGTAAATGTACCCAAATGGAAACGGCAGCACTGCCGACCCACTTGCCTACAGAAAATACTTCTCGATTTCTCGTGGACCCCCTCGTAGTACTGAAGCTTGCTTATGCTTCGCTACGTGATGTAGAAACATTTTCGCAGTAATTTTTTCTGTTTCAAGAAATGAGGCGTGCTCTCGCGCTCTCTTAGAAATCGGACGTTTTATTAATTGAAATATTTTAGAGAACTTATTCATTTCGCTTGTCTGTATTCATCCATTCATTTAAAATCGACCTTGACCTTGCTGGTTAAATTTGTTTTTTTTTCAATTCTCAGGCGGAAAGTATATGTCGTAACCATCGTCATTAAATATGCTATTGAAGTCAATCTCTTGACTTGGAGTCCATCTTTTGAGAAATAACTCTTGGCACCCAATTTTCGACAGCCAAAAATTGAATTCAGTCCAATGTTCCACAACAGTGGCTTCGCGTGAACATTAGTGACAACAACAAAGTGGAGTTGAACTTCAAGTTGTTTTAATTTGTGGAACATCTCACAAATGATGACATTATGATTTGGAGCTGGGTACAACTGATGAAATGCACTTTTAGGTGGTAGGACTTTGTAATTAACACGCGACGATTCAACCTGTTAACATTAGAGAACGAAACCTCCAAGAATTCTTGCTGGCGTGTTGGCGAAGGCCACCTAGATAAATTCGGTGGTCTACTAAACGTAGGTGCAACGCCTTCAGCAGAATGCACAAGACTTCACACCCCACAGTGCAAAAGCAACATTCTCTTGTTCAAGTGACTGGCTGTGATTAATAATTCAAAACGCCAATACACTTACACGGAGAATGAACTTGTGAGTTATGGACAGGATTTAAATATTTTTGAGGGGACAGGGTTAATTAAACTCCTTGTTCCCACGATGCCTGTATGACGGAGTCAGGGTGTTAAGGACGCTGGAGCTGGGATGAGAAGGGAAGGGAAGAGGAGGGGTTCGGGTTAGGTTGTGAACGCTGTATGTATGTCCAACACGCGGAGTGCGTGCGACCGTTCTCAGGGCGTAGGGGCGTCGTGCGGTCGCCGCATGTAGTCGTCCAGGAAAGACGGACTACCTGTGTCAACGCCTTCTGGCAACAGAGTGTTGGATTCGCTGATCGAATAGCCACTGCCTCGGCTGTTGTTTTGTGCACACCAAATCGGTATGAAGCATCTAGTCGACGCCAAGGAAGCCTTTCAAGTTACCTACCAGGCGCCAGCACACTACACTGCTAGCGACATCCGAGACAGTGGCTAGTCGATTAGCGAATCTAGCGTTCTGTTGTCAGAAGACGTTGAAACAGGCAGTCTGTCTTCCATGGACGACTCCATGCAGTAACCGCACGACGCCCCGACGCCCTGAGAACGGTCGCACGCAGTCCGCGTGTTGGACATTCATACAGCGTTCACAACCTAACCCCAACCTCCTCCCTTCCCTTCCCCCCTCACCCCATCCTCACAGTCCTCAACACGCTGACACTGTCATGCAGGCATCGTGGGAAAAAGGGGTTTAACTAATCCTGTCCCCTGAGACATGTTCTAATCCCGTCCATGACTAACAAGTTCATTGTACATGTAATTGTACTGGCCTGACGATGAATTACCGAAAACATATGTTCGCCAGCTGGCCTTTTCAATCGTGACATGGGAACTTTCGTAGAACTTTAACATGCATTGAGCAAAATTTCCGATCAACCAAAGAGTACTTATGTTGTCAACATCATTGGGAAGGCATGAGATATCGATCATTAATTTGGGCTTCAAAAACTGCTCAGTCTGCGAGAGCACTCACACACGAACGGTGATTAAAGCAGTATATTTAGATTTAAAGGTGAAGAACTTCATCATTTCTAACAAAAGTGAAGTTAACGCATACATGAATAACAAGGGATTCCAGAGGATGGGTCCATATTGTTTTTTCGCAAAGACAAGTCCTCGGATTTGGTTCGTGGACCGCATTGGTGACCTAAACCTAGAATTCGCGACTACTGCCGTCAAGATCGGGATAACGGAGAATCATTTTGTACACAAGGCAAAGGACCTATAGAGCGCAGCAAACTAACACCTCGCCACAGAACACCAGGAATAAATACGTCATAAAGATAACCTGGTGAGCATTTTGGGTTATTGCCTAAAAATCAAAAGCATTGGTTTTTTTCCAAAATACCTTAGAAGATTTTGCTCATTGTTTGTCTGCTACACCCTGCCAGTTTCATTGTTCAAACTCATATCGAAGTTGCAAGGTATAACCACAAATATAAGAGTTAAACACAGTCGACAAAATCGGCTTGTCTAGCCGAGAAATGCCTCATTTAAACACACATCGCCTGTCGACACATTTCTTATAAGCAATTATCCCACATACATTCTTGTCAAGATGACCTTGACATTAAAATACGATAGAGGTTTCTTCTGAAAAACCGGAAATTCGACTGTAAATGTTCCTTCGAAAATTGTTGCGTTCAGCATTAAATGCGTTTTGTTTCGTATTGCCCCCGAGTGTCCTCAATTTTACTTTGTGCGCAACAAACTGAATAAATTAACTAAATATATCGGTTGCGTATACAAAAGCAGACCCCTTTAACTAATGTTACCAGTGTTTCACGAACCAAAAATTAGCTGTGTAGTGTGACTAGAATTACCTTGTACTACTCTCCAAAAGGAGCGACAAGACAGACTCCTAACCGTTAGCGTCATTCTTTTCTTAGCAGGCACCTCACTCGAACCTTTTCATCAAGATATCTCGAATGTCGCATTAGTAACCCAGTTCAGAACAAATTTCTCTGCGAGTGAGGAGGATCAGGCAAAATTCCACGCTATTAACTGACCCTACGTAAGACACAGAACAGGGCCCAGTTCTGGGTTTAATCGTTAACATCGATTACAAGACGGAGGGCGGTGTCAAAATTTAAAGCGCTTTTACGGGCCTGTACAAGGTGATTCCTACCAACATTTACTTAGGCAGGAGCAAACACTGGACTGTTTAGCATGCAAGCAGTCACTACGTGAAAATCCCACCCACAACTTCATAAGTATTGAAGATCACTAACGGACCCCTGATGGTCAACCGAAGCCTCAAGGTGGGTCTGTCTCTGATGCATGCGCCATTTCATTCAAAACATGCGCACTGACTTGTCTTTCGACTGTCCAGTCTTCGCAGAGTCTTTGATCGACGTTTCGCTCCCGAGTTGTTGTTTCGTTTGACTGCCGTAACCGAGCCTACGAACGATTTGTAAAAGATGTCTAGCTTACAAGGGTCAAACAAGGTTTGTGTAGTATGCAGAACGCGTGTGGCATCATTATTTGGATACCAAGGACATGTATTTGCACGGGCTATTTCTGTTATACAGTGGTCATACTAACAGAACTAATCCACACACGCAAAGCTCAGCCCCCTAGAAACTAGACATAGTAGTAAACCGTACAGTGGGCGATCTATCGCATGTAATATTAGTCGATATTCTGAAATGAGTTTTCAATTAGGAAGGATTACTTAGGCGGGACTGTAATATTCATTATTATGGGACATAATCCCATAACATATCGGACTCGCGAGGATGTTGACTCTTGAATGCACTTCTCTTCGACCTCCAGCAAAAACAGCGCTCGGCAAAAGTGACTACTCAGGTAGTATGCAACCTCCATATTGATTTGTGATGGTCATATAAATTTAAATATATTTTGCAGAGAACATGGATAAAATATACTTTCTTTGAATTAGTTAGTAGCGCATCACGTCTTTTTAACACTTTCCGGTCGAGGAAAGGATGTACTCAGGTTTTGAAAAAGTCCCCCAGTTCCTGAATAATTTTGAACCAGATCAGCCATTGCATTAGCATTTGGAGATCTAAGTCTACAAGGTTTATACTTTTTACATAGAGAAAACCATATACTCCTCCATTCCTCCGGGGAAATACCGTGTAGAACTCATAAAACTTGCAATGTGTGCAGACAATGTTGTATACTTCATGAGCAGCATTAATGAACGGACAGGTACGATAGTGTATGAATGGCCATCGCATAATCTTCAAATATCTCATAATTAAAGACCTTTTTAAAACCAGTAGACGCTCCTGCTTCGAGTATAACATATGAAGAAGACCTGACTTGCTACCAGACGAGTAGAAGAAAGCCCATTCGGGTTTTTTTACACAACGTATGTTCAAATATATGACGCCGCCTAAAATCAGTATGAACAATGCATACTAATTGAGTAATCATTTTTATGCTGAGTGAATTTTCACGGGATGCCGAAAAGGAGTACATTCAAAAGCCAACATCCTCGCGAGTCCGATATGTTATGGGATTTTGCCGCCGGATAGTTAGTATTACAACCCACCTAATTTATCCTTCCTAATCAAAAACCTTTTTTCAGAATTTCGGCTAGCATTCCACGAGTATTGGTCACTTAATGTACATCTTTGAATTTTTATCCTAACAGATGAGCCCTCTATTATTTCTTGTAGTTGAACCGGGAAATTGGATTTATATGCATGTCAAAACTCATGAAGGCAAGAACAAGGTGTGCAATAGGATGGATGATCCGGATACCTTGACAGGCGGACAGATGTGTTAAAGTTCACTGTGAATCCAGTGACTCGACCTCTGTGCTGGCCACGACCTGGACGTCAGGCTTAAAGTCCTGGAAACGGTGGTGCATCATGCAGGCCGGGACGATGACCAGTACCAACATCATCAGAAAGACGACATTTGGTAGGAATTGCAGGGCGCCGCCGACAGCGGGACCTACTAAATAGGCGATGTTAATTACCGTGCGAAGGATGGATTGCGCGGCATGGGACTCCTGTACAGGCAACAGTTTCGTGTAGAGTGACTCTGAGAGGGCCAGAGGAAACGGTGCTCCTATGACGTGAAGAGCAACACCCGTGAGCACCATCGCGATGCCTACCGGCTTCGGCATCGAGGTCGCCATGGTAGTGACTAGTGTTTGCCAGAAGTAGGTAAAGGTCAGTAGCAGAAGACCAGCAAATATTAAGTGTCGGTCCTCAAATCGTTTTGAAAGAAGGTAGAGAAACAAGCAGACGAGGAGAATGAGGAAGCTCGCGCTCAAGTACACGTAGCTTACTTCCACCTCTGTCCAGTCAAAATGAGTGTCTGCAAAAGGACTCAGCACGGCCTCCAGACCCATAACGGAAAAGTAAGTCGCGAAGATGATGAGGTAGATTGTGACTGAACTGTAGCGGCCGTAAAACCCGGTTCTTTCGTGCCATTTGCAGCAAAGACGTTCTGGTTTGCCTTTTAGTCTCGTCTCGGCAGCCATAAGAGTATTAGGTTTCTCCTGTTGCATAGCCGTATCCGTTAGCGTTTCCGTACTATCAGCTCGGCCACCAACAGATCCCAGTAACTTTGGATTCAATCCTGGAGGATAAATACAGATTACAAGAACCGTGTGGAGAATCCAAAAGCAAGCCATCAAGAGGCCCGGCGAGTTGTAGACGGTCACGCTTATCTGACCAATGTTGAAAGCAAGATTGTGCAGTAGCAGGGTACAAGCCGGGCCGAACATCAGACCAACCTGTCGAGTGACCAGAAATATGATAATGCAGAGGGTCCGCTCCTCGGGTTTAGTGGCAGCGATTAGGTCAGCGTACAGTGGGGGTTCAATGCTAGCGCCAATGCCGCAGATGAGTCGACCGAGTATCAGCAACCAGGGAGTTGGGGCTACCATATAAATTACATTACCGAGAATTTCCAGCTGGTTTCCGGCAATCAGGACAATTTTCATGGAGATTCCCTTATGGACGATACATCCAAAGAGTGGAGTGCACACCAGAATCGCGAGCCCGAACGCAGCCAACGTTGCTCCGTAGTAGGCCTGGGCAGCACTGTTACTCCAGTAGTTTGTCAAATATAACCACATCGTCGGCAGAATAATGGCTCGTTCCACACTGGTCAGAAAACCCCAAGCTGCTCCCGTTATAGTTATTCTCCACTTTTCGCTCAAATTTCGAAAGCATAGTGCAGATCTTTTAGGATTAGGTTCTGTAGACATTGATCCTCCGCCATCGCCGACGTGGGATATTTCCTTTTCTGTGTAGGTGTTCATTTGACTCGATGATTCCATGAGGTAATCCTGTTCAGATTGCCTGGGAAGCGAATGCAAAATCGTCTTATTAGAAAACATGGATAATTCCTTCTTATTTAACATAATTTCCCCATCCTCATTGGCATTGCTTAGCGCCTATTGCAGGTGATAAAAAGTCAATCGTTTTACCCACTAAACTGTAATCAGTCCGACCAATGAATAGCGAGAGGGCTGAGTCCAATCAGAGCGAAGTGTGCGGGCCGGTCAATAAGGTGTGCGCCTGTGTGACACAGAAGCACGTGTGAACACAAACTGACCAGGCGCAGTTGCATTACCGGGATGATGGGCAGAATACTGTGCTGTCAACGCACGTGTTCTCGCGACTGTTTAGCCGCAGCGTACGTGCGGGAGTATAAAGGCGTGTATTTTGGTGCATCCTTTTAAACACAGTCTTTACAGAGGGTCTAGACTGCGTTCAGAAGTTTTTCTGATTTCTTGGGTCACTGTATGGGTGCAAGCGAAGGTTAAGCCGACCGCAGCCGAAAAAGGGTTTCTAAATTATTAAGCCAATTTGTTGAGGCAGCGTCAGACTCAAAACTAAAACACTGAAAACATATCGCAGTATAGAAAGGAAAGGTGGTTCTTTAGACCATACAAATGCCACCGTCAGGAGTCCTAAGTCAGGATGATATTCTGTTATTTAAGTATCTCTACCAAAATCATATAGTATTTATAAATCATTCCTTAGTATCCTTTTAATTCTCGTCCTCTCAAACCCCAGGACAAATATAAACAAAGACTCAGCTGATTAAGAAAGGTGGATGGACATAAATAGACTAATGGATGTGGTAGTTTGTGGGGTATGAGCTTGAGGTTCATGAAAATGAGACCAACAAAAGTAAATTTCACATCTACCTGATTTGGACGTCACATTCGTGTTCCTTAACCAGCCGATGGAAAGCTAATCAAAGTGCGACTTCAAAGTTTGGCTTCATTTTCATAACTTTTCTAAACCGGTTGTATCATAATGAAATCTCCAACGTCTAAATTTGGTCTTTCTCCAACAAGTAGCGAGTTAATTTCATAGTCATGCAATAAGTTGCGTTCCAATGGTCGGTAAATTGAGCACACATCGAATTAATTTATTAGGTATGCTTAGTATGAATGCTAGTGAATATTTTGGAAGCGTCGCACCCCCAGAAGAGGAAGACATTTTTCATTGTCATTGCTGCCAGCACGGACGGCTTCGCCGATAACTGCTGGCAAACTAGGATCCCTATCGATCGCTTTATGCTGAAGTTTGAGAACTTTCTGTTTTACATGCAGTTGTTTGCCAAAACCCAAATAAAACTTAAAGACGGAGTTGCACAAACATCAGCTGGGGTCAGGATATCCATATATAACTCCCAGACGCTTAGGTTCACGGAGAGGATGGGCATTCAGTCTGATCCGGGGGTTCGAGCATTCCCCGACGAGATGATGTTCTCATTGAAGACCTGCTTATCCTGCGCAAAATCCACTCATCTGGAATGTCTGGCTCCCATAGACTTTGCGTTCTGAAATGTAGGAAACTCGTTCTTTAGGGCAGGAATTTCATCCACCTCTCGATTCGGATTCACACTCAAACCGATCCAAGGAGACAACAACAAAGTGGGCGCGGTGAACGCGAAGGAAATTGCGGTATTTATGGAATGCAGTGGCCATACAACCGCATGCCTCGCGTAATTAGCATTTCCGAAATTTATCCTCGATGATCGCATTTGATGCGATGCCCGCTTGCCCGCCTGCACCCTATTCGATAATTGTGAAATCTTTGTCCCAAATTTTAGTTATTGACTCGATAATGGCTAGAAGACTGCGCTCAAGGATACGGCTATTGAGGGCGGTGTCCGTTATGCGTCTCTCGCATGACTAATTACTTCTCCCGGAAAATGTCTGACTGTTAGATATGGAGGGGGGGGGAAGTCACTTGGCTTGTTGCTAGACAGTGGACCGAAGAACCATAACTAAGGGATCTCGCGACTTACACGCGGGAGCTTCAGCCAAGTCCAACTTGGGAAGTGGATAGGTCTTGCTTAATGGGCCACGATCTGACAGCTCGCTTCATTCCCCTTCGCTGCTGTTGCATGTTTGGCCATTCGCGTCCCAGGACAATCTGCCCGTCTACCCCACGTGTATACTTTGCTCACCAGAGTGCGAGGTATGACAAAGGACTCCGAACGTCCTCTACCTTGGCAGTTGGCCTTCGGGTGGCATTACGTAACGCCTGATAGTTGCCTGTGGCTTGTAAGCAACCCCGACTCTAAGTGGTGTGATAAAGCGGATGACGGCTTCTAGACGTTCTTGGCACACGACAGTGTTCGTCGGACATCGGGGTCGACGCAGTTTGGTCTCTTTTCTCGTTTATACTTGCGCCTGTTGGAGAAGCTGTTAGGGTAGTCGTTCATAGTCGTCAAAAATTCCACAATTCGGCAGCCCTTCCTTCCGAAAAACTGCTTCCAGCGACTGCATCGGTTAGTTAAATTGTAAAGTAATTATTGCGCTACTAAGCAATACTGGTGGTGAAATTTCAAAAATTTGCAAATCGAATTCTGGAAATAAAGTATTCGCTGCACTAAGCACAGTACCTGCGGTGAATCCTGGAGGTGTTAATTATGGGAGATGTATGGGTGCGTGACAGTTGCCTTTACGTCTACTGCAACCCTTATGCAGTCATTGCCATAATTCGAAACGGTCTCTAATGATGAGTTCAAGCTGGAATCTGACAAGTCAGACGAATAATGTTCTTGTTTCAGCGAACGCAGCTCATGCTCAATAGCCTGCTGGAGCTCATATTTTTTCCTGCATCTGCAGGTCTTGTATAATTGTCCAGGTGCGTGCGTCATATTCAGAGAACTATGGCGCCACGGCCTCTGAAATCAGTCATGTAAAATCCCACAGTCAATATTCTGACAGTCTGACGCAATTTCTGCTCGCATAGGAGACTGATACTGTCATCATAGGAGTTAACGCAGAACTCGTTGACAGCTAAATTACACACTTGCGACGACTTTCGGTTATGATGATTAAGCTAAATGCAGGCTGTAGATTTCCCAAGTCACGGCTAACTTACCTCCACCACAAATGGTCGTTAGTGAGCCCCCTGAAAGCGTTGTGTCAGCTGGCGCGTTAAACATGCTAACCACAGACCGCGTGATCAGATATGTGCCAGCGGCCAGCCTAGAGCAATTCAATTCTTCCTTTCAAGGTATGCCTCCATAGCTTTGGAAGTCAGAGCCGGTCTCGAGTGACACGACATCCCGGGTAATTTTGTCAATGTGAGAGAGTAGAAAATGGAAGGGCTCGATGCGAGGAATAACATGCGCGAATGAATGGTTTGATTCCTGACAGACTGTATAGCCTTTCAGTGGTTGCACGACAGGCGAAAATAATTCGGAGAATACAGTTCATGATTAGCCCACTAAGGAATTCAAGAAGGTGCATATCTTCAATACTTATGACGATGGTCTGCATGTACAGTGGCCAATTGCACTGACGAACCACTCAGATGCTTTAAGTTGAATACTTTGACTCATCTACGTCGGTTCTAAAGAATCTGGTGGTTTCGAACAAAAGCCTTGCGTTTCTCATCTAATACTGAGCTTTGTTATAACCTCAATTGCCTGCTAATATAAACTGGTTTATAAGTCACATTATCACTTAACCATCTAATAACCTTTCGATTTTTGTTTCGGATGTTGAAAATTTGTTCACTAGAATTTTTTGGATAGATTAACGATGGAGCAACGCGTAAAAAGCATTTAAATTTATTTCAAGATCATTTCTCTGTCATTTAAGCGCGGAGAGTATAGATGCGTTATGTACACGCTACGGGAGACGAAGATGATTTTAACCTAGACGACTTTGTGGCAAGTTGGACTACCAGGTTTTTTGGGCACAAAAATCCAAGGCTCATCCATCAACATGAGTGGTGCTCTCTCAAGGCCACGGTTTACTGTGCAACACCTGAAAGACAATTGGACCTTACGCTTTTCAGGCAGAAGACGGCAATACTGTTACGCTAACAGGCGATCAATATCGACAAATTAGGCAAGATTATGAATCTCATGTAGTAGATGACATGTCTGCGACTTGACGGCAAAACTATGACGCAGTCACCCATACGACCACAGTCAAAATGCAGTCGCGAGCGTAGATTATCCTAGAACGGATAATTTCGTGGAATCGATATTTCAATTTTTCTGAACCTTTGCCCGGTTCGACGGCTCCCATCCCTTTTCAGCGAAGCTGTCTGGGGGACCATATAAATCAGTAAATCAAGAACAATCCAGCTGGTTAAGGTCAATGTTCAGAAAGAAATTCACGTACTGAGACCAGAGATGTTAATACCCGTTTTGGAAAATTACGGAAAGAGGAGAGGTGTTTGCGAAGCGGAAACAAGTGACACCTGTATATACCCGGTGGTCGTTGACAGAACGACAAGCCCCTGGCTCAGTGGTCAGGACGTCGGACGTTTGACCAGTAGGTTGCTTGTTCGAGTCTTGGGACGTATACCTCGGGGTCGGATGTGTCTGGTTGCTGACGGTCAATAAATCAGAAATGGGCATTTCAATTTCCTTTTCTTTACCGGCAATGCTACTCTGCCTATATTACGCGCCGCTGTGCAGCTTCTGGCGGGGTTCGAGAGAGAGCCCCAAGGCACGAAGTCCTCCCACCTCATGCGCCATGACTTCCAACGTACCTCTTGCCGTACGGCGGCATTTCAGCACTCTCTATTACCATTTTTGACAGGACACTCTACGTGTGAAGAAGGCGAAATACAAAGACCGAGTCTTGAACTGTCCCCGTAGTAAACGTTCACTTTTATGCATAACTAGTTACTCTTGCATCACTTGTCAATTTATGCCCTAATCAAGATGAATGGAGTCATTTATACTGAAAATTTTCAATAATACTTTCGAAGTAAAGAGCTTTGCTCTCTCTCTTCCATGCCATATCAACCACCACTAATCAGGCCCGAAGACTCAATGGAAATTTCAGACGAAGACGATTAACTACTGCGGAACGAGCACAAAGCGCCCAATCTACATATATGTATACTTCGAAAGAAAAAAGTTCTTTGGGAAAGATAACATAAGTTATTTGTTAATTCTAGACTTCGGTTCCCAAGTCGTCCTCAGACGCGATGAAAATGTGCAAAACAGTTTAAATTTAAACATGCCTAAAAACCGGTATTCCTCTGTCATTCCTGCAAGTCAGTCTCTGCTGTGGGATGACGGCATCTTCTGATTGGCTAATGCCTTTTCCAATTTTCCTTGAGGTTCTTGTACACAGCATCCAATTCTATGTGTCGGTTTATGCTTAACTTATCAGAATAAATGGCCTCTAAAAATTCGCGGCCCTTCTTAGATGAACAGAGACCTATAATGCAAGTATTGTCCCATGTAAATTTCTGTCCAGTTTCCAGCGTATGCACGGCAACCTGGGAAAAGTAGTCTCGCCCTCTTACCGCCAACTGATGTTCGTGTATGCATGTAGAGGCAGATTTTTCAGTTTCACCGCAGTAAACCGCATTGCAGGTGTCCGCGGTATCTTATAGACGACTTTCTTCTGACCTAAATAGCCAACCCTATCCTTATGGTTTGCAAGAAGTGTAGTCGTCGGTTTGTGCGCCGTGTATCTGGTGCTCCCTTAGGTGTATTTCAACTAGTTCAGACACATTTTAATGTAAGGAAGCGTTCGCCAGATTTTTGGCTTCGGTTTTGACGCCTGATCGGAACAAGCTGGTTTCTTGTCTTTTTCCTTTGATGTTGCAGGAGAGGGTGTTGCCTAGATACGTAACGTTTTCCACCATACGCAGTTGGGCGCCGTTCACGTGGATTTCGAGTTCGACGTAGGCAGCGTCGGGCGACAGTTAGTGCATTACAACCGTTTTCTCCGTGTTGCTGATCAGGCCGAAGTTCTTGCAGGCGGCGAATAAGAGATATATGCTCCTTTGCATGTCCCCTTCATTAGCCGCATGGACGATGCAGTCGTTGACTAACAGAAGTTCGTGGACGGTGGTTGCAGATACAAGCAACTGGAAGCGCATCAGCCGCTGACTGAAGAGGTGGCCGTCCGTTCTGCAGGCGACGCGGATCCCGGGGCGTTCGTCGCGGCAGGCGTCTATCAGCGTGGCGGATAACGTGAGACCGAAGATGGTAGGCCTGAAGACGCAGCCCTGACTCACTCCGTTTGTCGCTGCGAATACCTCTGAGACAACTCCATTGTCTGTAAATCGCGCCGTCATGCCATTGTGGAGCTGACGCACCATCTGGGTGAATGGCTCGGGACACTCGAATTTCTGTATGATTTTCCACAGTCCGTCACGATTCACCATGCGCGCGCCACACGTATGACCTGGCCCCACAAACACAAGCACCAGGATTTCACACAACGTGGGTAGGGCGGCATGTATTTCATATGCGTGAGAGTGACGTAAGTCACGTTAAGCGGCAGTCGTTTCAGCCTAGCTCTCAGCCCACCAGTCTGCCGCTGCACATTTACACTCACCCAATTGGGCAGACTGCGTGGACTGAGTTGCGACCTCGGTCAGCAGCCTTCCAAGCAACGGCGCTTGATGCACCATGACAGTCTCAGATTTGAGTCACACATGCAACAAAGGAACTGCATGGAGGCAGAGCCGAGACGCACACTTCCCACTTAGGTGGGAGGTGGCAGTTGGATGCCGTGTCCGGGATCCGTTCCTGCCACCGCAGCTTCAATATCCGTCGAAGACAGCTGAGGTTGAAGTGGTTGAGTCCCCGCGCCTGTTTCCTGTACACCGCCCAGGACTCCGCTCCATACAGCAGCGTCAGCAGGATAGTTATTTTATGAACCTTGAGTTTGGTGCTAAGGTTGAGACCGTAACGACTCCAGACTGTGTTATGCAGGCAGCCAAAAGCTTGGTCATCTGTCCTATAGGCAGTGATTATCGCGGTGCGCTCGCCATGGTAGGGTTCCTTTAGCATGGCATAAGACTAGAGAGGGTTGACGTGAGGACGGAGCCCCAGCTCACACCGCTGGTCACTACGAATGCCTCTGAGAAGGCTACAATGTCCCTAATGCGCGCCATAATGTTATCGTGGAGCTGACGCACCATCTGGGTGAATCGCTCGGAACAGCCGAATTTCTTCATGATTATTCACAGGCCGTAAAAATTCACCGTGTCGAAGGCTTTCGTCAGATCTATGAAAGTAGAGTGGAGGTGGGTCCGCATCTCCTAACATCTCTTATGCAGTTGACGGGCGGCGAAAATCACGTTCGTGGTCTCACTATGACGACGGAGGCCGCACTAGCTTTCCGGCAGGAGACTTTGTTCCAGATGGTGGTTCGGGCGGTCGAGGAGAAAGCGAGCGAAGGTATTCCAGACGATGCTCAGCAAGGAGATGCCTTGGTGGTTGTCGCAGAGCTGGCGGGTTCCTTTCCGCTTGTAGAGGTGCATGACTTTGTCGTCCCTGAAGTCCTGCAAGACCTCCTTGACGCCACATCTCCTGGACGAGTGCCGTCAAATGATCCATGAGTTGGGGGCCAGCGCGCTTGTAGATCTTAGCAGGGATCGCTTCCGATCCGGCCGCTTTCCCCCTGGAAAGCTGCTTCACGGCCTTGATTTTTTCGCGGAGCGAGGGTGGGAGGTCGAGGTTGACGTTGTTCTGCAATGGGGACAGACGGGCGATGGCGGCGCAGGGGATGGTGGAGGAACGATTGAGGACTCTTCCGAAGTGCTTGACCCTTTGCTGTAAGATTTGTATCTTCTCAGTGAGTAGGGTATTCCTGTCGGCGTCGAGAAGAGGAGGAATTCCTTTGGTTGGTGAACGGTTGACAGTCTTGATTGCGGAGAAGAAATTCTTCCATTCGTTGCGGTTCGTGTACCCTTGGATCTCCTCAGCCCTGCGAGCCATCCAAGCGTCCTTCAACTAGCGCAGCCGCTGTTGCACAAGGCGGCGACTGTGTTAGAAGGCTGCATTTTGTCGTCCGTGGCGCTGTCGACGTAGGCTTTGTACAGACGGTTCTTCTCGGCAAGCAGTTTGCTGACGACGGCGCCGTTTTCATCGAACCAGTCCTAGTGTTGGTGGCGTGCACGACCGAGGACAGCCAGCGCCGTCGATTGAACTGTGTCCCGAAGTTGACACCATCGGTTCTCCACGGAGGCGTTCTCCTCGATGGCGGCGACGACGGCGGTGACTGGAAGGTTGGCTAGCTCTTGAGCTAGCTCGTTAATGAAATGGTGATGATGAGCAGGCAAAGACAACAAACCAATATTCAGCTTACCTGGTGATCGCTTACCTTGAGGTCTCCTGCGAGGCTGTAGGTGAATTCGCATCTTGGAGATGACGATATGATTGTCGGCCGACCTGTCAGCACCCGGAATCGCCTTTGTCACAAGCGCGTCCCGGTGGTCTCCTCTCCGGACGAGGACATAGTCCAGCAGGTGCCAGTGTCGCAACCAAGGGTTCATCCAGGTGGCCTTCTCTCGCATGGGGAGGCGGAAGTAGGTGTTAGTCAGGATGATCCAGTGTTCGGCGCAGGTTCGTAGGAGGAGCAGGCCATTGTGATTGGAGCCGTAGAGACAATGGGGACCCAGCACTCCTCTCCAGGCAGCATGGTCTGTGCCGACGCGTTTTTTTTCTGCAATAACTCTGACGTTGACTGCAGCACAGTAAAGAAACACAGACACAATGTTCAGCGAAGCACTTAGACTAAAACCTTTCTAGAAAATTCGGACGACGGCAATGCCATATTCACCAGTACACGGCAAATAACTGAGGCAGATTTTAAAACATCTGTCCATGTTCGGCGTCATGAAACTACCCCAGAAACGGTTAGACAAGCACACAACATATGCGGAATCAGTCTGTTGATCGCTAGTTTCTACTTCTTTAACACGAAATGTCTTTCATTTTATTGAAAGAGTCTCACCACCTATTTCCTTCTCATCCGGTCCGCTTACATTTTTACATATACAGCCTGTCCCACATTTACAAGACCTCCCACGTTCTGACTAAAATGTCAACAGTTTCACGCAGACAAAACCGGTTTCTGCCTGAGGAACCTTAGTTTGAGCAAGGTCTCACTGTAAAATGGCGTACTTCAACACTAAATAATGAGAACAATCAAAATATGGCTCTCACCATCATAAGGCCACCTAATACACAAAAGTTTCTTCAGATGTGCACTATGAATGCACTACAATGCAAATCTAACCCTGGGTTCGATTGGAGCGCTTGGCACGACAGACAAGTAGGGTAACAGCAACACAATGAGCAACAAATCGATTTTTTCCCTACAACAACTAACTTCAGCCATTTTTCGATGTTTTCGAATGCCCGAAGGAGTGAAATTGACGGAGATTAGGCGAGGCAAGATTTCGACCTCGCGTGCAATTTCTCTTAGCAGAAGAGCGATCGAACGGTGAATCACTATGCTGTAAACCGCGAGAAAAAACCGTAGAAGTAATATACTGCGGAGTAAGAGAAGTTATCCGCCTCAGACGAAGAGAGCAGTTCATTAATCAATTGCCATATCGCTCTTCGACCTTCACGGCTTCATCGTATCGGGAATTTTATATGCTAGCCTATCCACATATATTTCGCAGATTTTTCGCAGGCTCGAGGATTTTTGCGGACGACGGACCTTTTTGTCCCTGGTACGTACTTTCTCAGTTGGATTGCCCGGTTTATTTTATACACTAGACGCTATATCCAATAAAATCTTATGATTTTATGCTGTATGGCCGTGTGAAAACTGTTTTTAAGAAGGGGAGAAGGGTTTGTATAAGCCTGAGACACATAAAAATAATCATAAAAACATAGGGTCTTAGCTTCATGGATTCCCACTTTTAGCAGGGGGTTGCGAGACGCAAACTCCACTATCCGGGAGGGATCACTTTACTACGTGAGGCGTCTGCCAAAAGCAGTGACGTATGCACCATCATGCACGATTTGACGCCGTGCTTTTCAATGACTATAGCTCACACGGTCATAAAGGATTTACTGCTATTTGCTTATCGGAATTTTCTACACAGGTATTCGTTGACGGAGTATCACGACGAATAATGAGTGCATTACACCGAGGAGTACGTCACCCGGACAAATGAGTAGTGCAGGGTGGTCCTCTTTACGGGAAAGATATTTCCATTTATTGGTTGGGGTGGTTAAAACTATTAGTGGTGTGACCTACGTAAGTAGCCCGACACCTGCGGTAGGCGTTCATGTGGTTGTGGCCTTATTTAGCTCTGGAGTGATTTTGTTTTGCGCAAGGCGTCTGAATTGGTGATTTTGGGAGAAAATTAGAATTCTTAGTCATTCGTTCGATCAAAGTCTGCTCATCCGTTGCCCTTTCTGAGCACATATAATGGTAGTAGGCATGTGATGTTTCAGCAACAAAATTGTTGTGCGTACGCAGTACATAAGGCGGAAAGATGTACATAATGACCTGGCTATTTCTGTTTTGCGGACGTTTTTACTACAACAATCGAAAGTATCAGTAAAAGAATAGGCTGAAAGAGGCTATTTGGCGAAGATCATATCTACTTTTAGATTTAGCCAGTGACACCATGGTATGAAGGAAAGCCATTTTTAAACCATTCTTGCTACATATCATTAAAGTTAATCTTCGTTGTGTGAAAAGTCTGTTTTCACTAAACAAGAAGATGTCAACTTTTACACGCCAATGCAAAAAATGGACGTATATACGCAAATCACTAGAAAATTTTACTCAAAATGTGTGACAGATTGCTTGACAATGATTACATCATGTACCAAACAGGGGAACTAACCAAAGGATCAGAGATAGGTTTCGCCTATTTTGCTGCTGCTACATGACACAGTTCCTAGTGGTTCAGCCCCTCTGTAAGTCCCCCAAGGGTCTTCTATGTTATTTCTGGTATATGCACCTCAGATAAATTATTTATGTCTGAACTTTGAGTTCAGCGCTCAGAACCCTGTCGATTAGGATAGTTTCTGGCATTTTGATGAAAAAGTTGATCAAAGACAATCACTTTTTGTGTAGAACAACCACCAGTGTTCGTTGCAATCTTGGAGACAACTCTAAGCAATCTTCTTTTGACTTGTAGCCCCAAATCCTTATCTTAATAGTCTATAAATCTCGTAGTGTAACATGTTCCTATGGGTTTATATATTGTTCGTCAAATAAATTTTCTCCTCAGCAAACCGTGTTAAATGCGCGAAGATCAAACCATTGTCGTACATTTTAACTAGACTTACTTTCAATCAGCTTATCTCAGTATAATTTGAATAAAACCAAATGCATGAATTATCTGCTTTCAAGCATACGACAGACGCGTCCACATGCAGAATTCAGGAAGCAACCAGTTTCCGCCTGTTCTGATCGTGATGAGACTTTTTCTTTTTTTCGCATATTTAATGCATTCGTAAGAAGGACATTGCGTTCGGAAAGCCCTTGTAGCCACGGTTTTTTGAGAGTCACCTAGTGAGTATATTCCCAGGCATGCCCTATAAGACTGGAGTCGGGAGGTCCAGCTGACCGTGAGAGACACCTAAAGTGGTGAAGTCTATTGAAATCCTCGGATATGTGGCGCCAGTGAGCAGATATACTGTCATGACGGAGGACCGATTTTGTAGCGTTTAACAGTATTGGTAGCAGACACAGTTGTGGAAATTTAGTGGGACGTGAGCCATTCAAGTTCTCAGTAAGGAAAGTTAAAATACCACCTTCTGGGCTTCAGGCAACTGCTCAAATATGAATGCGGTTTTCATCAGTTTGAACATTCGAGAAATCCATTCCAATGCAAAATTCTACGTCTGTTAATCTCAAAATTCGAAGACATTCGCCATTTCATCTCAGTCGAGACCTTTGCACGTCGACCAAACTAGCTGTCGTCCATTGTTGATAACACTATACGTTGCCCAATTTAAGTTGGCTGTTTTAGTGATTTCCATTGACTCGCGGCACTTTAAGCCCTCTCCTTGCCTTTAAACATTTGTCTGAAACAATTCTGGTGATGTAGAAACATGCCTGAAGTCTGCAAGCACGTTTAAGAGTGGAAGAGGATGCGCCCCGATTGCAACACGACCCTCAACACCCTCTTATGAACTAGGGCCGCTGTTAGCGCTGAGCAACCGCTGACCTGGATCCATTGATAATCTTAGGCTGTTTTCCATTTGTCCAGTGGCTGTGTAAAAACGGTTACGAGTTCGGTCATACGTTTGGTTATCCGGTGCTTTGATTTATCCGCCTTCCATATCTTCATTACCTGGCCGACATTTTTCTCTTCCTAAATTCATGACTACCTAAAAAGAATAGCTGTCCCATGGAGATAAGAAAGCACTGATTCATTAGCTTGAACCGCACGCGCAATTGCCTACTTAGTCGTCTTGGACGCAGTGTACTGATAATTCGACCGTCGCGAACATTGATGTGCGCCATGTGTCTCATGGGCTTGGCGCAGGATGCTGGCGTGGGCGTGAACTGGGGTTCAGTGGGGAAGACTTTCGCAACACCTGCCGCATCCACCAAGCTCCGGTAAGAAGACAATGTTATGACGACTGGATGTGAGCTCGATGGCGGTGCCTGACAAAGATAAATGGGCCATCGGCATGTCGCATATGACGTGGTGCCCATTGCGTGCTCGAGGCCTCTGTAAGGTCGTTTCGGATCTTACATGTCTGAGAATTACATAAAGGCCAGAATACGAAAGAGACATTGCAGTCTATCAGTCCCGCAGCCAGTCCAACATACTCCTATGAGGTCCGACCTATCCCTTCAGTTGGCAGCCTTCCAAAAGATTACACCAAACGCAGGGTGCTCCGCCAGTGCATAGTCGTGCAACTTCCATTGAAGTGCTTCGATGAACCTGGAGTGACCGTACAACTGCGACGTGGATCCGCGCCCACGGCACCCCGCAGCCTCCACCCATTCGGCCCCTAGTGTAGAGCATAAAAGGCACTTTTATTGCACACCAGACGATTCAGACAGAACGATGGGGGCTCCATTTTTCCACACCCACATATATACGGCGTGGGAGGACTGCTAATCAATCGGGTAACAGTACAAAAAGGGCTTGTTATGTTTTGATCTATAGCGCAAGCCTAATGCCCCGAGAACGGTCAATTATCGGCATCTTATAATGCAAATTGCATACCGATGAATAAAAAGGAGGCTGTGATGGCCACTTGCTCGACCGGCCATACCTTCACCCAAAGTTAGGATAATCTGGGATACGATCTTGAAGCAATTGGCCATTGGTTATTTAATTAAACGATTTACTATTATGCCTTGTTTAATTTCCCAGGAAATTAATGCGCGAACTTGGAATAACTCTTTCGAAACAGACCTTTTCAGGCGCGGCCCGAAATTTGATATGAATATTTGAGCTGAAATCCATCAGCTACTGCTGAATAACCGCTTTATATTCACAAACCGCCAACAGGCAGCCAGTAGTATAGAATTGTGCAATGATTTACCGTACCGTGTGTTGTTAGTACGGTAAATCATTGCACGATTTACCATCAAGTCACTTGCCTGTTATCCTATCGGTTGGGATTGTAACTGATACGTAGCATTGGCAGGCCGTTTATCGATCAGATTAGTGTGGAATATTCATGAGTCATTTTGAGGAAACAAGCTAGCTTATTTTACATATCTTCGAGATCGGCTTGAACTTTGTCGACAAATATATAGTAAGTGTGAAACAAACTGTAAACTGTTCCTAACTGTTCCTAAATAGTTCCTAAAAGATCACCCATCCGGTTAACGTTGACGCCGTAATGCGGCGGTCTTAGTGATCCGCCGCTTGGCATTGCCTGTGCGCTTCCCTATTCTTTAGGAAATTAGTATTTGGTATTCAGACCGATATGTAGCGCCTGAGTAGTGAGTGCACTCTGAGCGCCACAATAACTACGACCCAATTCCGTGTTGGAAGAGAAAGACACCGATAGAAGTCGAGTATTCTGTACAGAAACCTTGTGATGGTCGTAGCTCATGCCGCACGGCTAGTTCTAAGCCTGAGAGCGTCCGTCCGCTAACGTGAGGTAGGCGTGAATGAATAAGAGTCATGTGAGTGTCAGCTAGCGTCAACTTGGCCAGTTGATTGAGAGATTGCCGAGTTTGTTGGCCCCCGCGACTAGCTGATTAAGAGGCTGTATGTGTTTATGTTTCGGCTGCTCAAGGATCGTGACCACATGATTCCTAGCGCTGCGTGAGTGGCAGAGCCTGAGCGGCTACACCGAAGACAGCAAATAAAGTGGAGAAGAGTGTTTTCAACATTGAAATGAGCAATTGAATCCAGTGCAAGCGTGGGTTTGAGGACGAGATGATGGTGGCAGGAGTTGGTTGGATCGGAGGCGAGGCAGATGCTGTGGCCCGTGTAAAGGTCCAGTTGAGGCATAGGTTAGAAACAAACCTGGTGATTCATTTTTTTCGAAAATCTCATGACCCGTCTTTGACTTAACCGTGCAGTTTTCCCCGCAACGAAATGCGCACCCCGTATCCAGCACATGCATGTCTACTTGAGATAAGTAATCCCACATCCTTACTACGTGCAGCCTCTCATATTATTAGGTTGGAACTAAATTCCCCTTTCGACCACAGTATTTGTACCAAAGCCTCCATAGGACATTTCATGGATTACATTCCTCTTATTCAAGTCTTTAATATTGTCTTTAGGACGCGTAAGACGGTTGATAGTTTCTGCTTTAGTAGTCTCTGGCGTTCTCTTAGTTTGCCTTCCAAAACGTGCATATACATATTCGTTTTATCGGGAAAGCGGCCATCAAGTAGATGCTCTGGATGCCTGCTCGGTAGCGGCATATCTTTACGGAGTATCTTTGCGTCCGGAAGCATATCAGCTCATACACTGACGTACGTACTTATGTGGACAACCTTCATTGGAAGACAAGCCAAAAGGTCGTCCCACTTTGGTTCGATAAGTTTCGCCACTAGGGCGATTGCTTTCTGCTCGACATGGCAGACTGCTGACGGAAACTTGTTCGCGAGACACTAGATGTTTACTCTCATACCGCAGAATGACACCGGAACGTGATTTTTGTGATAAACTAAGGTGTTTGGTCACTGTATAAGTGCATCAGCAGGAATTTAAGTTTCGAGCATCAACTAGATTCCAAGGAAAGTAGGGTTAAGCTTGTGTACAGCCCTTTCAACTTGTCCATCCCGACAATAAAAGTGCGTTATCTCCACAACTAAGCCACATTTTCGGTCTAAAATATGAAGACCGATTGCTTTTTGTTGATTATTAAAGCAAACTGGATATAAGTGAATTCATTGGGGAGCACTAAAACTGTTGACAGCATTCTTTGACGAAGAAAATATTCGCTTCTCTACAACGTAGTGATAGTCCAAACAGGATGTGTACAGTAATATAAGTTATTAGTTTGGGACAGTTTCTTGTATAACGTTGCTGAATCAAATAAAATGAGTGTTTACGGAGAAAAAACGCCAAAAGACGTTGCTATCTCATCTGCCTTGAATGTGACTATCCTTATTTTGTCTAAGGTCCGTGTTGGGTCTTCCAATGTAGTTTCTAGGTTCCTCGTAAACGAGTTTATTTGGCGGGAAACCACTTGGAATCTGTGTACTAAGGTGCATCGACTGGAAAAACTGTCGGTCGCGCGTAAGCCCACCTCTAAAACCGTCAAGAAATGTGGGATTTTGTACTTGTGAGTTCACGTTGGTAAAAGTAATTTGAAGCGTTCCCCGGTAGCAGTTGTGAGTATACGCGAGAATGGAAACATCCCCGTAATACGGATGGTCTTATCGAAGATTCCAGAAATGGTGATTATTTCCCTGTCATAGCCAAAACAGTAACCCTGGCCCAAGCCTTAACCCTAATTCTTACCTCCCTAGAAATTTATCGGAAGGGCTCCTGTAGAACGCGGGGTTCATATTCCTCCCTGTATGGCGTTTTCCACTTCCTTGATTGATAAATTTCGGGATTTGGGCTAGGTGGTAGCAAAGGGTTGGTAGGTTAAATTGCCTGTCGGAATCGACAAAATCTTGTTAAATTTTTCTTATCCAGAACTGTGGTAGCACTATCTTTGACAGCAGAAAAGATAATTATATCTGCATCCATTTGTAGCGACTTAAACGCCTTCTCCTCTCCACAATAGATTACGTAAGATGGATCTTGAACTGATACAGAGGAAGGAATATCAACAAAGACAAGACTGAGAGGGCCGCTCATGCCTTATTGACCGTCACCATCTTGCACAGTGACAATTCGACCGTCGCGCCCGACGATGTTCACCGTATGCTCCACAGCAAGGTGCGAGTAGGCACGGTGACTTACGCCTGAAGTAGTCTATGATGAGAGCAGTCTTGCGCTCAATCGACCATACTCCCTCCTCCCCCCCCACCCCACCTGGGCCTGGTGTCAAAAATTAGTCAAGAAGACCCTAGGGGGGAAGAGGGAGCAGATGACTGGCAAGGCCGGACCCGCATCTAGGCTTGTCATCACACCGCCTCATCCACGACAAACAGCCGACCAGGACTCTAATCAACAAAAATGTGTTAGAAAGAGGAGAGGATGACACAAATCACTGGGCAACGTGAGCGCAAGTGCATTCACCGCCATGACGCCAGATGCTAGAGAACTGCCAGCGCACATCAGGCGGCTAGGGCCATGGTTTGCTGATCATGGTATAGCAGCCGTGCACAATCCTTAACGCCCAGAATGGTGAGACGCAGCCCTGCATTTAGCCCGGTTCATCACCCTTCAAATGTCGAGTAAGCAGTTAGTCACCGACTGAGACATACTGCCCCTATACACACACTCCTCATGTACGCTAGAGTGCCAGAGGTCACGTTAAGAAGGAGCCGTTGCAGCATGACTCTAAACCCACCAGTCCGCCACTCCACACAAACACACATAACTGTACAGATTGCGCGAACTGAGTTGGTGTCACTTGGCAACCTTCCAAACCATGGCGTTTGGCAAACCGGGATAGTCTCAGGCTCGGGCCACACATGCAGCAGGGAAGCCACATGGAGAAGGTGACGAGAAGCGCACTCATAACTAACCTGAGAGGTACCAACTGCATGTCAGTTGAGTTGTGTGCCGATGGGTGATGCTGGTGGGCGTTGCAAATGCCCGTGAAGAGAAATGTGATGACTTTATATGGCCGGCTGTGATCTATCGCAGGTTTTCATGAATGCGCGTATGGCCTAGTAGGCACATGCCTTGGCAGATGAGTCGAGTGCGTCTGATGTATTTTAATGCTCCAGGCACTGATTCGCCAGCCTCCGTGCGATGGTCTGTTCTGAGCGAGACCCATCCAGGTCTCTGGGCTTATATGCAATCGCTTCATCGAATTTCTCGAAGCGCCTTTTTAGCGTCGCTTAGCATCCGTTGTGACATCTTCGTAGAATAGTTGTCTTGGTAGGCGAGCGTCGTACATTCTCACCAGATGGCCGCTCCATCGCCGCCTCAGTTGCCTAAGCATGGCGTGGATGTTGAGGATTCCGGTCCGTTCCAGAACTTCCGTATCCGGGATCCTGTCTTGCCTTTTCAATTTCCGCATTCTTTGAATGCACTTGAGATGGACGTTGTTGAGCTTCCTGGTATGGCTTACGTAGACGCTCTAGATCTTCGTTCCATAAAAGAATGTCGTCAAGACAACGGTCTTGTACATCCTGAGTTTGGTGTTCAGTTTAACGCTGTGACGATTCCACACAGAGGCTTGCAGCCAGTCGATGGCCTGGTTGACTTTGGAGAAGCGACGAGCAACCTCATCATTGATGTTTGTGTTGCGCGAGAATGTGCTTACAGGTAGGCAAAGATGTCCACGGCTTGGAGTCACTTGCCGTTGACAGTGATTCGAAGAGGGGTGCTGTGTTGCGCGTTGGTTGACAGTTGGTGCACGACCATCGTTTTGTCCTTACCCGGTGCTACGCCGAATTTGGCACGCCCGTCCGAAGAGTTCCATGTTCCGCTGCATGTCCACTTTGGTCATGGTGTCGAGCGCGCAGACGTCGGCGAAGAGCAGATCGTGGACCGTGGTCGTAGATAGTCGCGTTACGGCTCACATGCGCCCGCTGTGCAGAAGATGCCTGTCGGTTCTGTAAACGATGCGTATCCCAGAGCGCTTATCACGTTAGGCTTCCATCAGTATAATAGGGAACATGAGGTTGGAGAGGGCGGGAGCAAGTAAGCAGCCCCACTTCGCTCCGTTGCTCACTGCAATTGCCTCGGAGATTGCATCGTCGTCCTGGACGCGCGCTAGAATACAACTGTGGAGCTGACACGTACCATGAGCATGAATCTCTCAGAACGGACGAATTTCTGTAAGATTTTCCACAATAGCCCGCTGTTTACCCACTCAATGGTTTTCATCAAGTCCACGGAGGTACTGTAGAGGTGGGTTCGCATCTCCTCCCATTTGCTTTGTAGCTGACGAGTAGCAAATACCATTTCGATGGCCTCGCGCCGTTTTCGGAAACCACATTGGCTTTTCGGCAGTGGTCCTCGCTTGAGGTAGCCGTTGAGACGATGGAGGAGTAGGCGAACGAAGATCCTTCCAGAGATGTTGAATTACGAGATGCGTCCGTGGTTATTACAGAGTCGCTGGTTCCTTCACGCTTGTAGGGATGGACAGTGGTTGCGTCCTTGAAATCCTGAGGAACCTGTACTTGTCGCCATATCTCCAGGAATAGCGCCGTGGGTCGGTCCATCAGTCAGTAGCCGCCGTGTTTGTTGATTTCATCTAGAATCGCATCTGTGCCTGCAGCATCCCCGCTGGAATGGCTTTTGGAAAGAAGAGTGGGAGATCCGGGTCGAAGTTGATGTCCACTAGGGGGAGCCGGTCGATGGCCGCGTCACAGATTGTAGAGGAGCGGTCGAGGACGCCTCTGAAGGGCTCGGCCGAGCGTTCCAGAATCTGCGACTCCTCCGTCAAAAGCGTTTAGATATCGGAGCTGGGAAGTGGTGCGGTTCCTTTCGTTGCGGTATCGTATATCGCCGTGATCGCAGGGAAGAAGTCCTTTGATTCGTTGCTGTCGGCGTATTCCTAGATCTCCTCGGTTTTGCGAGTCATCCAGGCGTCCTACATTTCTCGCCATCGCTGCTGCCAAGGCGATGACATTCGTAGAAGGCCATCTTGTTTGCATCGGTTGGACAGTCGAGGTAGGCCCTATGTAGTCTGTTCTTTTTGGCGAGCAGATTGCTGAGGTTGGCAGCGTTTTCGTCGAACCTGTCCTGGAGATGGCGAAATGCGCTACCGAGGACACCGACGATGATCAAGGTGACGGCGTCCCGCAGTCGGCACCATCGAGTCTCTGCGTTGACGCTGACGTCCGAGGCTGGCATATCTTCCAGATGCTGAGCTGACTGATTGCTGAAGAGCAAACGGTGAGCAGGGAAACTCAACAGAACAGTATCCAACTTACCTGGTGATCGCTTACCTTATGGCCTCCAGCGGGGTTGCAGACGGAGCCCCATCTTTGAGACGACGAAATGGTGGTCAATCCAACCACAGGCATAGCAGGTCGCCTTGGTTACCATCAGGTCCTGTCGATCGCCTCACCGGACGAGAATGTACTCTAGTAGCTGCCAGCGCCGCGATCGGGAGTGCGTCCAGGTGGCTTTCTTCCGCATTGGCAGACGAAAGAAGTAGTTGGTCAGCAGGAGTCAGTGTTTTGCGTAAGTTCGCAAAAGGATAAGACCGTTGTCTTTGCAGTTGCCGATGCCGTGAGGAGCCGACACTCCTCTCCAAGCAGCGCAGTCTATCCCGATGCCGACGTTGAAGTCACCAAGGACAAGCAGCTTATCTGCCTTCGGCACAGACGCCAGAAGTGTGCGTATGTCTTCGTAAAATTGGACCTTCTATTCGCCAGTGCCGGTCATTGTAGAGAAGAGGGTGAAGGCTGATGATGGTAACGAATTGGGATCCTCGAAGAGGCAGGCGGAGGCTCATCAGGCGATCGTTGATGCCCTGCGGCAGTCAGGGCAGTCATCCCTCGATGTCGTTCCGTATAGCAAAGGTGACGCCCGTGTCTCGTCGCTCTGACTTTGGGCGGCTTCTCCAGAAGAGGGTGTAGCCGGTAACCCCCTCCTCAAGTTGGCCTTTTTAGGCAAAGCAGATCTCGCTGAGCGCTGCGATTTCTACTCTGTAGAGAGCTAGTTTTTGAACGACTAGCGCTGCCCTCCGTTCCGGTCGATTGCGCCTCAGACTGCCCATAAAGGATCAAAATTTTCAGACTGCCATGGTGAGTAGACTCACTCTAGCAGACTTTATTGTGTGCGCAGGTGAGGAGCAGGAGGAAATGTAAGATTGTTGTTTCTTGTTTTGTTGTTTTGACCGCTTATTTTGCATCTGTGAGCCACTCTCAGCATGTAGAGGACTTGATTCTAGCCTTTGTTCAGTGCAACTTTCCAACTACTTTCTCCGCGAGGACGTCACCAATGTTGTTCCTAAACAGGGTCGCTGAGACTTTCTAGACGGTTGTCGGACTCCTCTATGAGCCACGACTTTGTCTAGTGGGGGAACGACCGAGTTAGCATGGGCCACCTACGGAATTGTATGTCGTCCTTTCCGTAGGACTTTTGAAGTGGGTGGAAAGCAGGAGGACGGGGGAAGGGTATAAATGCTGGAAACAGAGTTTTCCTCTACCCCTCTGAGCTTACTGATTGTTGGAATTTAATCCATAAGCAGGCAACTTCAACAGAACGGTATTTAACTTACCTGTTGATCGCTTAGCTTTTAGCCTCCAGTGGGGTTGCAGACGGGGCCTCATCTCGGAGATGACAAGGCGGCGATCCGTCCGTCCAGCGGTGGTGTTCCTCCTCTCCATAGGACTTTAGGTGTGGGGAAGAGGGAGAGGGATGTGAGAGGGGAATGGGGGAGGCGGGTGAGAATGGGGAGAAGAGAGCAGGGAAGGGATGCAGGATTACCGAGTGTTGGGGGACACACAAAACCGGATACCCTCAACCTTATTTAGCTCGCCAGCCGAGGGGGTTATCAGGGCATGGCCGATAGCAGAGCCTAGCATCGAGAATCTACATGTGAGAGTTTGGTGTCCGGTAATGTACGCTATACGCAGTCAACTTCTGCAGGCAAATGAAGCGACCTACTACAACCATCACGTGAGCCTACAGCTGAACAGCCCTACACCACCTACATTAATTAAGGTTGGTGATGGATTTCCGATTAGCAAGGAAGTCTTATTTATCGGATTTTAGTTCTGTCCTTTGAATAAGCCATCATAACACTAACTTACTTAACAACAGCGCATGACTGTCAAAATGCAGTACTGCGCTGCTGCATCAAAGCAAAAATAGGGACCGTAGTAACTCCGAACGCGGTTTGGACATGACCCAGTTTAGATGATACCTTAACGGCTACCGTAGGCCCTTATGAACGTATTAAACACCACGACATTCTATGTGCCGGTCTTATCACCGATCGACAGAAAGGTTCGTACAGGCCACTGAAAATAAAGTAACGAAAACTGAAAAAGATCAATCCATCTCTGATTAAGCGCAAATGTTTCTTATTAAAACATGCAAACGCACTCTGAACTTATAATGGTGTGATAACAATCGTGCTTTGGAAGATGGATGGCTGAAGGCATTACCGTACCCCTCTTTAGAACGAAGTCATGACTACGATGGTTCTTTTTAAATGCGCTTTTTATAGCACTTCTCATAGTCATGAGCTCAAACACAGTCAGTAAAGTCTGGTATTTATAAAGTTAGGAAACAGGTCCTATATGCTACGCGTAGACGAAATGTTTGTTACGTCATCTACTGCGTCCACAGCTATCTCCGGTTGCCTAAACTTTGTTCTGTCGTTCGAAAATGTTGGTTTGGGAAGCTGCAATGAGAGAGTTTTGTACGAGTGTACTAAATTGCTTGAAAACAGGAGATTAAAGGCTGACTTGGACAAAGCTCTGGACTTCAGACTTTGGTGTTCGTCCGCTGTCCAGATACTGTTTTAGTAACTGAGACGTGGGCGTCGGCCTCCGTAGCTGATTTCGAACTCTCTCTTCAAGGCTATATTTGCATTCGAAATGATCGCCAAGACAGCCATGGTGGGGGCAATTGCGTCTACGTTAAGCAAACACATACCTTTTTGCCGCTTGACCTGCCGCACTGTTCCGCAGTAGAAGGCAGCTGCTGGTTCCAAGTTGCACTGAAAAATAAGTTCGCCTTACTCGTTGGCTATGTCTATCGCCCTCCCAACGCAAACGACAATTTTGATCGTTTATTTTTACAGGCATATCATGCTGCGGCCGACTCAAGCTTTAAGTATCAATTGGTTGCGGGTGACTTTAATCTTCCCGAAGTCCGCTGGTCTCCGCCTTCAGGCCCATGAAGGTTCGAAGACTTTCTTGAGGCTGTGGATGTTTGAATGTGGACTCAGGTTGTCGATTTTCCCACCCGGGGATAAAGCATTTTTGACCTGATTTTTTGTAGAGGCTGCATACCTTCGTCTTTGTTATCTCTTGGCCCACTCGGGGAGCTCAGACCATGACATAGTTGTTTCAACGTTGGAATTCGAGGCTGACAAAAGGTTATCCCCAAAGTATAGCTTTTTCCGCGATTTCCGATCAACTCGCTCGACCGAATTATAAGCACACTTTAATTCCTACGACTGGACTGATTTCTTCCTTAGTTCGGATGTAAATGTTTGCACTGCAAAACTGTATGAAATTTTGGATCCAATTATTTCTTGTTATTTCCCCCGAAAGAAAGTTATTAATGCTGGGGATGAAGCTTTCCTACCCTTACCCTTTCGTCGCAGATTGCGCAGACTTTATCGTCGATTCCATCTTCAGAACGACGTTTCTGTCCTGCCCTTGATTTGGGATATTTTTGGCGGGCTAATAGATTGTCTGAAGAAAAACAGCTAGCCGAAAAGGTCCAATTCACTAAAAACCGTTCGTCACATATCTCGAAACCTTTCTCTCAAAAAGTACGAAATCAAAGTAAAACGCAGCATCCCACCCTCCAAGACGCTCTCCGGAATCCTATAGTTGATGCCCAGTTAACCGCTGATAGTTTCAATGATTTCCTGTCCAAAACGTTTATTGAAGACTCGACCACTTCGCTTCCGACCATCCAGGCATTGACCGGGGCAGTTCTAGAAACTATTACTTTCACTCTGTGGGATGTGACTGTTGCAATTCGGCGTTTTCGTCAATGTTATAGTCCAGGCCCTGATGGTGTTCCAGTTAGCATTTTAAAAGCCGATGCAAGTACGATTTTCCCATTCCTCTAATGCAAGATATTTAATCTCGCTCTTGAAAGTGAAACTTATCCTACCTTGTGGAAGGAATCACACATTTTGCTCATTCCTAAGCATGGCAAATCTACGTCATTTGATGACTTTCGGCCAATAAACACCCTCCCCGCCGTTTCGAAGATCTTAGAGACGTTGATCAAAGATAAGATGATGTGTCGCTTAACCGAAAATAACCTACTGAGTGCTGCTCAGCATGAATTCCTCAAAGCTCGGTCTTGTTACACCTGCCGACAATCTTTTTTGACTATGTTCTCCAATCTACGGACACTGGTTTTGCACTTTACACAGTATCTTTCGATTTCACTGTTCGTATTTATTTAGCACTTTACACAGTATCTTTCGATTTCACTGTTCTTATTTATTTAGCCTCATGTGTGCTACTGAGCGGAAGAAAATAGAATCCGTTCAACAATTTTTTACCAAGAGAATTTTAACCCCGGAACACCGACATTTGTCTTACCAAGAGCGCTGCCGGCTTGCGGGTCTTCATCCTTTATGGTTCCGTAGATTACAAAAGGGACTATTTTTGCTATTTAAACTCTTATATAATCACAAATTCAACCCACTCACCTCTTTAAGACATCATATCTACCTACGACGTAACAGTCACCGTGAGGTCTTTTTATTTCTTCCGTTGGCACGTACTGTTAAATATCGTCGGTTCTTTTCTGTAAATGCAATTGCTATTTGGAATAAACTACTCATGAATGTGAAAAATCTGCAAAATTGTCCTTTGTTTAAGAGAACTGTTACTCTATTTTTGCATTCAGAAAAGCTCCCACAAATTTTGGGGGCTGAATCCACTGATCGGCTGTACCGTATCGATGGCGTTCATGGTCTCTAACCACTATGGCCGCCCTGCCAGCACATGGCTCCTTCATAGGCGGGGCTGGAAGGGGCCAGAGCCCCCTCTGGATTGAAGCATTTTGAAGCGTATTTGCATCGAAACATATGTTTCAAAAGCACCACTTACTGTACCTTCTTTGGCATTAAAAGGAGCCCATTTATCAAAATTGGCTTATAAATCATGGAGAAAGCATCCGTTAACGCCCACTGAATGTAGCTGCGGATGAGCACAATATACTGAGGTTTTGTTTAAGTCCCTTATTGCGTAAACTCTCATTTGTCCACCGGATTATAATCTGTGTGTGTTATTTATTCGTATGTAACGCCCCTGGACTTGAACAGTATTGTTTGAATGCCGTGACACTTTTGGCGCGAGGACCTAGGATGGAGATGGCGTAACTGCGTGCTGGCGAAGACGACCGGTGTCCCTTCCTCCCGTTACCGCCGACCCCCCTCCCGCAACGAACCGCCGCTCTCGACTCTCTCTCGCTCTCTCATTCAATGTCGGCTCCCTCGGCCCTTCCCTGCAGTTGCCCACAGCGCTGCATCCCCACCGGCTGTTTAGCTAGTACGCAGGGTCGTCTATCCATCCAGACAGGTCACCTATTTGCTGTTCCTCGTTGCTCGTGTACATTAATGTTTGTTATATACATTCTTCATATCAGTTGTTCCATTACACTATATCCATACTCGACGTACTCTCTTCTTCCGCGTGTGAACGAGTTTCGAGAGATGTTAACAGTTCTGTTCAGGTCTACCTCCGTCAGGATCTCTTCTCGGCGTCTTTTTATTCCGGTGTGTGCTACCCTTGACGTCCTCGGCCGCTACAGTATATTTGACAATCGATAGCAGATAATATCGTGAGTCAGCCAATGCTGCTTTCATGCTCTTGATAGCTGTCTTAGTTCATTTATGTATATTATGCTAATTGTTTAGGTGTCTACTCACCAGCCAGTTCAAGTGGTCGAGTTGTATGTCTATGTATGTATATTTAGCCTTGGTGTTCGCAGTCCACTTATACAAATTGTTTATCGATTTTTACTGAACATCCAAAGCAATTATGAAGCGTAATTACTCTGGCTATCACTGAAACACCAGCCGTCGAAGCGGGCACTTTTGGAACGCACAACTGAATGGCATAACATATGTTGAAGTCCATGTATATACTGGCACTGACATTTATTATGATTGTACATATTTTCCAATTTCTTTTTCGTTTATACAATAAATAACTCATTCACATGAATTTGCGTCGCGTGTATTTGATATTGGCTGCCGATTAGTGGGCACGTGTGCGGCGGGGTCACTGTGAGTACTATGTAATACCGTAGTACTCTACGTACGCAGGGTGGCTTCCGACGTGTAACCTGTGGAACAGTGAGGCACTGCACCTCAGGGGACTCGGTATACAGGACGATATTTTAAAGTGGTGCCAAAAGTGGGCGGGGATGTGGCGTCCCCTGCGCATTTTTTTTCGCTGGCGGGGCTAGGCGGGGCTATCGCGTTGCATGCCTCGCCACAGCCCCCTCCACAGCCCCGCCTAGCCCCCTCATGGCCCCCTCTAGCCCCGCCATTATTGAGGGGGCCAGGCGGGGCTGGTGCTGGCAGGGCGGTCTCACCAGGGGCAATTTCTTTGGCCAACAGCGACAGCGGTCCTTCGGCGCCTCTATTTTGACTATCCCCAACCTCATGAAAGGAACTTGCGTCTGATAATCTCCGATATCGTGCAGCCCCTCCCTTCTTGACGGTCGAGAGTTTGTAAAAAGCTCCCACAAATTTTGGGTGCTGAAACCTCTAATCGACTCTACCGTAGCGATGGCGTTTGTGGTCTCTGACCACTATGGCCGGTCTCACCAGGGACAATTTCTTTGGCCAACAGCGACAGAGGTTCTTCGGCGCTTCTGTTTGGACTAGCCCCAATTTCATGATAGAAATTGGCGACTGATATTATCCGATAACGTGCAGCCCCTTCCTTCTTGACGGTCAAAAGTTTGTGGCCAGCAGTTTTTTCCCCCTTAACCCTCCAAACCATAAAAACCATCAACTATATTTTTATTCTGTTCCCACAGGAGTTTTTTTCACTGCTGGTTGGATTTGTGTTTAAAGCTTCACGGACAATGCCTGTAAACTGGCATTAAATAAATTATTATTATTTTTAATTCCTTTTGTATTACCCATTCTCAACATTCTCATATTTTGCGGTAAAAAGTGCGAAAAATGCAAAACGAAACTCTGGCTATGGCTTCCACACATCAAGCGAAACACAGATGTTTACTAGGAAGTCATGAAAATTGAGATTATCTGGTACTATTGTAGGTTTATCAAGCGAGTTTATGAGCCGTTCGTTTTTAGACTACTTTCGGAATACCCGTTTCCTCACATCACTTCGAGCTCGGCGAACGAGGACCCACGCCGTCTATCCCACAGTTTGAGCGCAGGACGATTAAGTTGGCATGAATAAGCTCACAGTGAGGCAGACTTAGTTAGCAGCCGCTATCTCTCCTCTCCTTCGTGCACTAGGTTCCGATCGCATTACAATGTCAAGCCGACCGGAAATGGGCACAGATGAAGTGGCTGGCAAGGCTAAACGACACTTCGACGAGTTTGAAGTAAGTCCTGATCACTACCCCCCATGCATGTGATAGTAAAGGATATTTGGTCAGCTTGAACAAAACGGCATTTAGACCGTTAACGTCAGTGGTGCCACCGTGTGCCCCACAATAGGGTGAGAGCAGGGACGGGGACTTCCCCGTGAAATAGTTTTTAGTGATAGTAAATTTGCGAAGTACCTACCGCGTTCCCTACTCACCCACTTGGACCATTTGTTAAGACACAGTCAGGGCAACCGATAGCAGAGAAAGACGCAGGTTGTTGGCACGGCAAAAACCTGCGCCTAGGCGGGCCACGAGGCACCCTGGTCCAAGACAAACAGTGACGATGATGTTTCACAACACGAACATTTGATGAGCGACGCGCATGCAGGTTAGCACAAAGTGCGTCTGCAACTAGGCCCGCCGCCACATCCTCAGCGTCGGCGTTTGTTATGGGTGCGCATTTCCGATAACGTCTGTCAGGATACGATCTAGTCCCTGTGTCGGTCCAGCCCATCTACCGAGTGGACCGTTTTATGGGCAGAGCACGATAGTTTGATCGTCGATTCCGACGGTTTCTACCATGTACTCCACGGCAAGGCGTGAGCAGAGATAATGACTCGCGAGTTATGTGGTTTTGGTGGCAGTATACTTGAGCTGCATCTATTGCACTCTCTTCTCCTCCCGTATCCGCACCCGGTGTCGAGACAGAGTAAAGGTAACTCGAGGCGGGAGAGGGCGCAGGTGGCTGGCACGACGTAAACCCGCACCTAAGAATGCTACCACATCCCGGGTCCACAACATGCACCGACGAGGATTTTATAAGACATGGAAAAAGAGCAGTTCCGATCCCAAATTCGCGAGTTATATGTGCCAGTTTTCAATCAACAAGAAGTGTTTCGGTGTCAAATGACAGTTGAAAGAGGAAGGATGTTCACTGGCAAGATCTTTGATTTTTCGTGGGATGTTTTTTGCTCTTGGTGACTTCGATCCGTTCAATGACTAATTCCCTTCATATAAGATGTTCTTAAAAGAATATATTATTTATGCATGGGGTCAGTAGTTTTTCTGGGGAGGGAAAAAACCTTGTCTCGTTATGTAAACCGGTTGGAAAAACTGTGAATAATGCGCAACCTTATCCCTGCTATTCGCAATTTCATGACTCGTATGCTGTTCAACGTGCTTTCCAAGGTCGAGCGAGACGCAATTAAGGAACTCAGAGTTCACAGAGATCTCGTTATCGTGTCTGCGGACAAGGGGCGTTCAGCGGTCATTTTAGACGGGACAGAATATATTCAAAAAGCCAAAAGTTTGTTGGAGGATCGTCAGTCCTATGTCCCTGCGAAATTACCCCAATTAAGAAGCTGACATGCGAGATCAACGCGACATTGTTGGCAATGGAGCATTCAGGTGCAATATCATCGATGGACCGACACATGGCGAGAGCGTAAGTAACGGTCCTGGCCCGATTCTACGACCTCCCAAAAGCGCACAAAATGGGCACTCCTCTTCGGCCAATTGTACCACTAAGAGGCACTCCTGATTTTGGATTGTCAAATTTGCTCTTTCAACCTTTCAAGATTCTGACCTTCGACTCGAACACCACAGTCAACTCGTCAACACCATTCTTGAAGAAACTTAAAGGGGTTAGTCTCCTGCCAAGCAACATCATGGTATCCTTTGCTGTTACGTCCTTCGTAACTTCTATTTCGCAGGACCTGACAGTCGAGGTCATGGAAATACTCATAAGAGACAGATACAACAAAGCGGAGAATCATCTCGGACGCGTCCAAATCATCCAATTCCTGAAGTTCTGACTCGGGGCGTACTTTAGTTTTGATCGAACAGTCTATGAGCAGGTTACGAACATGCCGCTAACTTCAGCCCTCTTCGCCTTTTATGAGCGCCTAAATGATTACAACTTACGAATTTCGGTTAACGCGAGATTCCGACTATAGTTCACGTGATCGTAAAATGCTCATAGTCTTCCCTAATTGGAATCTTCGACGGACACAGTAGCTGACGAAGTACCCCGTGAGATAACGAATGCTTTGGGTTGTAAATCACCTAAGAGAGACATAGTAGTGGCACGTGGCGGTTTTCTACATCTAAAAGATATTTACTTTTGCATGAGCGATTGCGGCTATCATCGAAAGTAGCTTGCGCAATGAGTCGGATGTCCGCAGCAAACATTTAAATGAAGTTGTCGTTGTTGTGTCGTTGGCTGCTTTTAATTTGTGTAAGAAATAAGAAATAATGAAGGAAAAGCAGAGTCCCCTCTCATATGATCAGACAATACCTCACCAAGTTGTATTCTATCGGGGCATATTTCAGTCGCTGTCGGCCTGTATATCTGGAGAAAACAGTTAAAGCCCTTAAGGCTCCACCTAAAGGGCATATATATGCCTGAAATTAGTTAAGTTACAGAAGAATTTGCATGCAGTTTTAGTGTGCAAAATGCATGAAACTGATGATAAACCACAAATGTTAAATACGTGAAAATATGCCGCTTCTGCGATACAGTTTAAAATGTACATAAAATCCAGATGACGGAAATTTTTATAATGAGCGAAGGAGTCGAGGTAATAACATGGACATATATCGTTTCAAATTTAGCCAGTGACGACACATTATGATAAGCGTTTGATATTTTGAGAGCCAATCTTACAAAATGACATCATAGTATGTTGTTGTTGTCGGGAAGCATTGATCATGTTAAAAGGTGTCGTCTTTTACTTTCCCGTTTAAAAAAAAACAATTTTAATTTGAGGCAACGCCGTTTCGACGTTGTACTCCTGCACAGAGCCGTCGGGTGAGGTTTGACAGCTGTTTTTCTCCTTTACCCTCCAGCAGATCTAGATCTTGTCTTTTACTCTGCCCTCTTCTGCACTATTGAAAGCAGGACATGAATGCATGAAACTTCAGTTCATGAACTTCGAAAAACACATTTATGTCAGGAAAGAGGCTATTTGAACAGTCAGATTTGACAAAACAAAACTCTATCCTCATCATTCGTCACGACGTTTTTCACTAATCAGTACGTACAAAAGAAGCATTCAGATGACATTAATTGAGAAAGAAGGCAAAACCTTACAGGTAAGTTTTCAGATATTTGATAGTTCCGGATTTCTGTGTTAGGCTGTCGCATTTTTCCAGACTTCTGAAGCTTCGAATTGTCCCATTGATCTTCAAACCTATTTTACTGAACTGACACTAAGGCGGGTGAAAGGACCAGGCGCGGGTACTACTTGTTACTCATTAGTTTAATTTCCCTTTTGGGGTCAAACTCCAAGCCCACGACCGCCAACCAACACGGCCCCTGCAACAATCGATTTGTGTAATTATCCTCTTTTTTTCCGTAGCTGGCCGCGTCTCCTGTAATTTTATTGTTGGATTTGGTCTTTCTTGTACCTGTTAATGGGCAATATGTCCCTTCCATTTTTGTATTCCTTCTGTTACCACGGTCACTGTTATATTTTTTTCTATTCAGAACAATAGTATTGTGGATATTGATTGAGGATGGAGGTCCCTGGCGCAAACAGTACGGAATAGCCAGGACACATGGTAATTACGGCGTGACTCGTGTAGCGCTTTCAGACCAACTCTAGTGAGTAAACCCACTCAGTTCTTGGAATCAGAACAGCTGCCAGCACGTTAACAAGACGGCATGAATAGAGCTGGACTGAAGATTCAGAACGGAATACCCTAGAATAGGCCATCATTCATCTTATAACTGACTTGTCAGAACTAGAACGAGAAGCAGAACAGCAGTCAATGAGGCGGAATTTAGTGAGAAAATTAAGTTGGCATAACAACAGTAGCTGTAAGAAAGCTTATTCGTCCTTTTCTTTTGTTTACGGGCTTAGTAAACGATGTCGGATTTTAATGGCGACCGCAGCGTTCATTCACTTTATTCTTTTTTCTTTCCCTCTATTGATTATTATGGATAAAGAAAGCAAAACGTCTGTCTGTAATGCGTTTAAAATGATTGCCAAGGGGAAAATACCTCCACTTGTGAATTGTATGCCCGGAAAGGCAGCGTTTAGATGTTCTTTGAATTCCAGCACGCGATTTCGTTCAATTACGACGAAGGTACCATTCACGTGCGGAGTTCAGGACTTCTGTGTGTGATATCGGAGGACCAGCGGCTCCAATCTTTGTAGTACCACCTCGGCTGAGTCCCAAACTAAGCAAATTCACTGGCTGGCCTTTCACCTGTTCGTAGATTGTTCTGTCGAGCGTGAAGTACGTCTCTGTTTCATCCCATTTGTTCTGTGGGAGTAATTCGAAGATCTATACTGCCAGGACGGGACATCAAAATGTACCACGAAGTCACTGGGCAGGAGTCTTGCCCTTAAAGTTTCTCCGGGAATTATGTTGATGAGCTGGCTGATGTGCGGATCAGCAGTCAGGAGTTTAAGACGTCAAAATAGCCTCTTAATCAGTCCGTAAGATAGAATACATTCGAGTGGTGCGCGGGGTCGGAGAGGAGCGTCCCCTTTGTGTACTTTTGGAAGTTCATAGAATCGGGCCAAGGTCACTTCTTGCGCTCTTGCCGTGCGTTGGCCGGTCGGCACATGAGTTTCCCTTGGCTAATAACTTCGCATTGCTTTCGCGTGTCAATCCGTTTACGGGGTTGAATTCACATGGGACCCTCCAGCAAGCTGTTGACTTTCTGAAGTGGTTAGAGCGTTGACTATACTAAAGCCCTCCTCTTACTGCGTGGGTTCGAATCCCACCAAGGCGCCGAGTTTTTCAAATTTGGGTCAATATGAATTTCTGAGGGTAGTCTGTCCTCTCCAATACGACAGCGGGACGCTCCTTGCCCCCGAGCACGATAAAGAGGTCTTTGTCGGCCTCCACTTCCCTTTGTTCATCGCTTTTCACCTTAGAAAGAACTTACGCTGCCTTTGAGCCATGAGGAGGGACGATATTTGATGTCGAGTAAGATTTCTCGTTTTGTCTGTCGCTTCCGTCTGACCGAGCATTGACTCCACTGTTGCAATTGTGTTTGTAGGTTTTGTATCATTTGTGTTAGCTGAAGCCCCATGCCTTAACACCTTCCTCTATTCCTCTGTCAGTTCCCCTGACGACAATTTGCGTCACTAGTTTGTCGTTTGTGGATGATGTTGGACCAGGCAGATTGCAGAGCTGGTTCTCCAGTGCTAATTCGCTAGTCACTCTCTTTTTGTGGGTTCGTTCGGCCATCCGCTTTTGAAGCAGTTTTCCACCGTTCTCAGCTACCAAATCGCAGCACTCGGTCTTCTCTTGGTCTATCCTCTGGTGGTATTTTCATAGCTGCAACCATCTCTGGTGCTGGACTCGAGTAATAATGCGAAATTTCAGGCCCAAAAATCTCTTGGTCCAGCGATCGCATCTTTTTTCGAATCAGCAGTTCCGGTGGCAGCCAGCCAAGTTGCCGAGTCGTGGTTATGCCAAGTCCTTACTGCAAGTAAGGACTCGGAGCAGAGACTGACAAGCAATCACATCAAGGACGACCCCCAGCCAACTACTATGGGCATGTGGTTGCCTGGCCACTTCGTCCTATAAATACAGCGTTCCCTGTGCCCCCACTACCCTTTCCTGTAACCGTCTGTAGTTATGCGTTTGAGTGATAATCCGAAATGTTAGGCCAATAAGCCACTTTATCCAGCTATTGTATTCTCCTCTGCGATGCCTTACGTATCCTCTCAAGGGACGCTTGTTATGTGAGGAACGGCTCAGGCACTGTCTGGGGTTTTCGCATCTCAATAGCGACAGTCGTTGAGGTCCTCGAAGGGTTCCGCCAAGACAATGGCTGTCATTTTGCCGATTTTTATGGCAGCTTCATCAGAAACCGATCAAGTAACCTCTGTCTTATCCAGTTTCTAAATTTTCACCAATTCATCGTTAGATAAGTCATCTCAATTTTCTTCTGTTGCAACAACTGAAGCTAAATCTCACTAAAGATCCCAGTTTTCAGGCCAACTGGTGGGGCGTTTGCTTACTTTGTCGGAAGATGACGCAAGGATTTCATTGTTAGGTTATGACTAGAGGCCTGGTTGTAATCCAACATCTTCTTATCTTAATGGTTCACCAATGTTGAGCAAACCTACTTAGTGGCAACTCGTGTCTTCTTCGCCTCTAGAATTTCAGCCATAGACCCTAATTTTTCTATATTCGCGACCAGTGGTTCTACTGTTTTGATCCACATTGAGTCATTTAGGCCCGATAAATCGACCCATCATTGAGTTGTAAGATGAATAAACTTACAGTCCATCGGCCACAGACGTGCAACTGGGAGAACGCGATTTAAACCATACGAAAAGTACCAGAACAATGACACGCCTTGGAGTTAGGATTTTTCCGTCGCGCAATTGACCTATAGGAGCTAAAAGATTGAACTGCAGTTAATGAAATAGGTTCAACCAGAGCAGCACATCCACATGTTAGTTTTGAATTTCCGAATCTGTGGTCGCAATACATATCCCTCCTCTTCGTATTCTAGGTTCGCTGTGTATATCTTGAATATGAATGTACTTGGGAACGGTTTCTGAAGACAGTAAGCGCTTTTAACTGTGCATGTAACCTTTTATAACACACTTCTCAGATTGCCATGCTTTTTGCTCTCCTGACCATTTATGACGCAGCGAACTGAATCACGCAACTTCATCCGTAGTAAATTTCCCATTGTTGTCCACCTCCTCAACTCGGAAATTCTTAATCTCACGGCTGAGAAGTGCTCGACTGTTGCAGAAGTATTCTCAGACGTGTGTAACTATCTCGGTCTCTGTGATACGGACATCTTCGGACTAGCGCAAAAAACAGGTAACATTAAATTTGATATTTATTTCAGCAGAAAATGGAATGATTTTTCCCGATCCTGCTTCTCGTGTTTCATCCGGCTGCACCCTTGACAAAACACCAAGTCTCGTTCGGAAACTGGTAAAATATTAATTTTTTTCGATTTTTATCACGAACTGCTTCTGTTGCACTGCATCGTCGTTTACGTGTTTAATTTTGCCCAACCAATTGTTTTTTATTCTTCTCGTCCATACCTTTGTTGTCGAGTCTCTCACTCACCTATGTACATTAACTGACATGGTCGACTGACCGCTGAAGTAATCAGTGCATTTTCAGGATTTGCGAGCCGCGGATAATTAATGGTTCTTTAGTGGAAATCGCTCTTGACAAGCGTCCCGAGGGGTCGAACGGAGACTACTTGATCACTTCCTCTGACAGATCGTGTTGCCTACTTCGAGCATCCACAGGAAGGCAGGAAAGATCATTCTCTCGATGACAGGATTGTATAACTGGCTTATGTTTATTGGGTGTCGGATGACTCAGATAGACATTTTGGTACCCCAGAATCAGTAGCGGCTACCGTGGTTAGGGAACTTACGAACGAATGACAAAATCCGAGTTTTTACGGCGAACTTAAATAACCCCAAAATTCTACCACACTTCCTTGTCAGCTCGGTGTAGGAGTAGTTCACGAACTCTGCTGAAAACTCCATCGCCAGGTTGTGCGCCTAAGGGTCGCCATTCCTAATGGGTAGGCGCAATTTATTATCTGCCGGTTACAATGTAGTTGCTAGTGCAGATACGTTAAAGAAACGGATCTATAACTAGGGACGAGGATGTTGTATCTCCAGCTGGTGGCCGAGGGATCGAGCCCGAAGTCGCTGATGACATCCCATACTGCCCAGTTTGGTCAAAAGTTCGGCCTCAGCGCATTTAAGGCCTTGGACCTAGACGATGTTTTCTCGGCAAGACAGCTACAGGAGACATCGCCAACGGACAACGTCTCAGTCGACCGTCCGATTGGCGTAACTACGCCCTACATGTTCTTTCGGGTCCACTTGATAGGAACATAAGTTAAGCAAACCGTGGGGATGATAGAAACAAATGACAATGGCCAATCCGCAGTCAGAACTAGCTACCTTCCAGGTAGACAATAATCTATGCAAATCAAACGCCTTATATCTCGTGTAGCATTTTGGATCCACCAAGTTCTAATGACTGACAGTTTGAATCGCTTTTCGAAACACCAGACAATGAGCAAACATGTGCCGGTGAACGCTGGTTCTTTTTCCACTCCACTTGTCTCTTTTGCACTAAGAGTGCATCACTCAAGTTTTTCTTATGTCCTGACTTTACGATTTGACCGCTTCGCCAGTCATCCGCCAAATCGGTTCTTTCCTTCTATTTGCGGATATTCTTTAGAAGTTCACAGCCCCGTCTGCATTGTTCGGTTTGTTCTGCCCCGGCGCCGAAGGGGTAGTTTCCAAATGCCGATAGAATCACCATTCGAGGAGCACTAATTTCGTTCCGTGGGTGGAATTCTGTACATGTTTCCACATTGTCTGCGATTAAGCGTTGCCGCTGTGGTCTGGTTATCTGAGCACCTGAATTTGAAATGAGAACGATTGACGGTTTTGTTCTTTCTATCGGTGAATATTTCTGGCGGTTTAAGTTTTTTCTTAGTTAACTCTCCGATTTCCTGGCTCCATGAGGCGGTTGTGCAAGCATGGGGATGTAAGGTTTTATCTGATGACTAATCATCGACCATCCTTGCGCCCGTCTTCAGGGCGGGGCTACAAGAAATGCCGCATCATAGGTCTCATCAACATTGTTACAGCAATCTTCTTCACATAATTCTGGAGCGATTCCGAAATGTATGCGGTACAGACTGTGCTTCGACCAAGGCATACACCGAGTGATCGATCTCATAAAATGTTGGAGGAAGTCCTGAGATGCGTTTTCGATTAGGAAGGATTTCTTAGGTAGGGTTGTAATATTGATTATTGTGCAGCATAATCCTATAATATTTCGGACTCGCCAGGATGTCGGCTTTTTAATGCACTTTTTTTCGACCTGTGCGAAGTGCACCTGATAAAAATTGATTACTTAAGCAGCATGCATTTTTTCACATTTGGTTTTCGATGGTCTCTTAAATACAAATTTGTTTTACAGAAAACATGCACAAAATATGCTTTCTTTCACTTGTTTGGTAGAAAATCATATTTTCTCTACACTTTATATCCCAAGAAAGGTTATCTTTCGATTTTAAAAAAAGTTTCTTATTATGAAATTTTAAGACCGTGCAATGTTCATAGGTACAGCATCGCACATGTCCGTTTACCAATGTTTCTCATGAAATGTACAACATAGAACGCATCCATTGCAAAATTTTATGGACTCTGTATAATATCTTATTAAAGGCGTGAAGCGGAAAGCATACACCTTGTAGACTAAAATCGTTAGACGCTAGTGCAACGGCTGATCAGGTCCGAAATTATTCGGGAACTGGGAAGCTTTCTCAAAATCTAGATATACGCTTTATTCCAGTATAAAATGTAAAGAAAGTATGATTCTCTACCAAATGAGTAGAAGAAGGCATATTTTGTGCATGTTTTCTGCAAAATACATTTGAATTTACAAGACCATCGAAAACAAATATGAAAAATGCATACTACTTAAGTAGTCAGTTTTTAACAGATGCAGTTCGCACGGGTCGAAAAGAAGCACATGCAAAAGCCGACATCCTGGCGAGTCCGAAAAACTATAGGATTATGCTGCACGCTAATCAGTATCGCAACCCCACCTAAGTAGCCCTTCCTACTCGAAAACGCAACTCTGAACTTCGGCCGACATTTCATGAGATACACTGACCAGATATCCATCGTGGAATGCACACAATGACTTGCCATGGTTGTTAGCGATTGACGGTTTTCTGGTTTACTGACTTCACTGCAGCTTTCGATTCCTCTAATCATGAGTTCCTGGGCCAAGCTAGGTGGTATGCCGGCAGAATTTGTCGCAATGATCAAGACTTGTTACCTCTCAACTTCTACACTCGTTCCTGTTCACACTACGCTTGCTGAGGGCCGATATTTAGTTCGATATTCGCTTAGTTTACACCCTGTCGCTCATTTCATCTCGCTAGACTATCGGGAAGACTGCACGCGTCTTTGCCTCTGCCAGATTCGTACGAGGTCATCGGCCAACAGGTCTCGTTTACGCCGACGATATCGCTCTGCTATTGCCAAGCTGTGAGGGCCACAGAATATCGTCTCTCGCGTCAACGAGATTGTTAAATTAGTCGGTTTGTTTACTAACACTGCAAAGACCGAAGTGTTTTACATTTACATTTTGGCTGAGAGAAGTCACCTCTCGTAGAGAGGTGGATAGGTTCACATATTTCAGAACGCAGTCATCAGTTGAACAAAAAACGACGTCGGCCAAGTCAGCATTGTTCGCAGGGTCATGTTAAGACCTCGGAGATGTGTAGGACATTTAGCGGTATTTCGATTACGACAGGAACCTATCTTTACGAGACATCCATCCGGTCAGTCCATTTGAATGGCTCTTAGCTGGAATGTGCGCTTAGAGGGAGATCTACAACTGTTTTTTCGACATCTTTTGCCTCGAAACTATCCGCCGAGTTTAGTACACATGCTTTATCTCAAAGAGAGCAGTTTGCGCTAAGCAAAGGCGCCACGAGGATATCCCAGGCCATCACAAAAAGGCGACAGAGGTGTCTGGGGCATGTTATTCATATCCCATCACATGAGTTCACTGCTGCCTGCCCAGCTCCGTCACCGCCCCCGCGTAATCGTGAGGACGGATGGGTTTTGTTCGCAAACCTGCCCGACGCGGTTCGCCAGGCATTGGTTGGGTTTCTAGATCTGCAATATTTCGTTTCCACTGCTGTAGATGGAGGTGAGCCAAGTTCACCCGACCCGCTGCTGCAAGTCACCGCGTGCGAGAAGAAACCCTGCGCGGCATCATTGAGGTCTGGCGGATCAGCAATTTTCACCGCCATGCCAGGTATATTTTACGTGACGGTGTTTCGCCGGGTCACGATTGCTTCCTTGCATCTATGACCTCAGCATGTCTTAGTCGGCTTTTCCCTCCACCTTTTTGGGTTCTCTATCTTTTACAGTTTGTTTTTCCCCTTTGCCTTTTATTCCTTTACATTCCCTTGCTGTCATCATCCTCGCAGAGTTTGCTGCGTCCTTCAAGAAAACTTCGATCTTTTTCGACGCTCAGCGGCCATAGTCTCCCGGGCTCTGATGACTGTCCAGTCTTCTACTTTCGCGTCCGCTTCTACATTCCAAACCACTGTTTGCATGGACGAAAAGTACGCCATCTTTACTACCAGCAGATCCAACACAACGTTCTCCACTATGGTCTATTGTGCAGTGAAGATGTTTACTTCCAATTGGCCGCTTATGCTGTCCAGGCTACTCTGAATCCGGAGGTTTCGGAAGCACTCCTTGGAGGCGTGCCTCTCGATGAGAGTGTTCTCAACTTGAGTCAATTCTTCCCCTTTTGGGTTAGTTTTGAGACTATTTATTTACTTGGATTATGTTGTCTTCCTCGATAACGTGGGGATTATAGCCATTATCCATCCTTATAACTGCGCTGCTGTTCGGCGTCTGTTTCCTAGTCGTTTCGAATGATTCAAACCCTGATTTATAAACCTAAATTATCCATACTAGCTATCAGGAACGGTCGCAAAATAGGTGTCTTTGTTTTTCCGCTTCCATTACAATCCAGTTTTTATACGACGCATCCGAAGGTTCATCAAACACTTCGAGAATTTTAACGGTCCCAGAAGCCGTATCCATCTTGACTTGAATTATTGTGAAA